ATTTCAGTTTCTGTGTACTAGTCGGGTATCCACCGAGCTGCATGAATTTTGGGTGTTCTTAAATGAAAATAGTCTTTCGTTGCAGTAAAATCACGAAATCATTACGAAAAACATTAGTTAAGCCTACTCTGTTTTCTAGTGTACACTGTCTTGGTTATTATTTCGCAACTTAAGCTGGGATACCCAATGCTCAATTGAACCCCACTGTCATTACTTAAAACTTGATACGTTTCATAAAACAACTCAATAAGAATACCTTAATGGCTTTAGATCCGCAACTGTGTTCAGATCACTAATTTACACGAAGTTTAGGACAAAATATCAAGTAACTGGTACGTTTCAAGCTTCCATCTCAAATGCTGGTAATACTTCCCGCATTTAGTAAACTATTATAGCAAGGATAAGCCTTTTGCTTCGTTTTATAATTACTCAGTACCGTTTGTAGTTCTCCATGTCCAAGAGATATCTCAGTTGGGGTAAGCGAGGCGTTTCAAAGTATAATACTGGACAGGCGTTACAGAAGCTGGATAGAAGTCGACAATGTGCTAAACAAATTCCAAAACGTAGGAAAGAATAATATTTATCCCATCTCATATCACGCATACTGACTACTTTCATGTCAAAAGTTAATTGCTGAAGGACATGTGGTTTAAATGCATGTTTGTGGCGTTTCTGTACGTATTTCATCGTAAGAGCAAACTACAATGTCTAACAACGAATCCCCAAGTAACATGTGACGTTTAGGATTCAAGTTTTTCGGCTTCCAATCAATGTTCCGTGTTACTATAAATGGTAAGAAATATGTTATAAACGCATTCAAGATGTTTCACAATCATCCTTGAAGTAGCTCATGGATGGTTTATTATCCATGGACCAAGAGATTGTCCTCTTAGGGAAAGTTCTTAGGCAGTGGTGCTGCAATCACCATTAATAAATGAAGCAGTGGAAAACGCAAGGGACTGGAATGGTAAGCAGGTCACCGTTGCTGATGTGGAGACTAAGAATGCTCAACTCTCCACATGTAAAAGTATGTCAGTATATTTCATGTTGTTCCGTAATTAAACAACAATTTTATTCATCAGGCGAAGCAGGCAGTATGTACAAGTTCGATGAAGCCAAAATATGCACCAACACATTTAAGAAATATGCCGAGTGCTGCACGATATTTCACCAATAACTAGGGAAGACTACAGTTTACCTAACAGTTGTCTTTGTTCAGTATTCTTCACTATAGAAATTATGGATGGGAATATGACAAAGTATGGAGACATGATAAGAACTCTTAACCATAAGAACTTCTTTGTAGCAGTATTTTAACTTAACTATATATCCAGCTTGGAAACTAATTTTTCTGTGTCAAAAGTTGCTCACCTTTTAGCAGTAGTAATAATGCATCAATAAGCATTTGCCCAACTTTTGTTTTCGTCTTCTTCGTAGCTTCGTAGTGACCTGCTTTTATGGAAAGGACACGATTGGTTTAATGAAAACAATTATTTTTATAACCTGTTGTAACAGTGATTGTTTTACTGTACCTGCTTGTTTACGTGTGCCAAAAACACACATTCTTCCGTTGCCCGTGACCTTGCACGAACTCGAGTACGCACGGTAGTTCAGATTGTAAACTTTGGCACGATCTTGGTATACTTTCGATACCATGAGATCGTCAACAACTATATTTTATTACAACCATCAACAGCCTTATGGTTTTTGGACTACGAAGGGATCCCAAACCTATCAGAAGCTTGCTGTTGATTGTACATATTGTGTCGATTGGTGCATCGTTTTTCATACTAAAAACTCAAGTTGTTTTGTCATGAATAATGTTAACTAAACGTGCACCAGTCACTGTAAAACCCTGTCATTTTTCGGCATTTCGTATTTATTACATATATTCTCCAGGCTTAACCAATGAAATACTGCAATTTTTCGACTGGTACAGTTACACTTGGAGCGTTGCGACAACCATTTTAGCATTTTTTTAGCTGATATTCACCTGTTTATCCAACTTATTGACCATGAGTGAGCTAAGAGAATATGAATAACTACAAAGAAGAGGAAACTATTGAATGAGAGTGTACTAAGAAATACACTGAGCACATTAAATATCATCGAATCTTGATTGCTTAAGGTTATGAACACATACAGTCACGTTTAGATAGAATATATTTTTTTGTAGGAAAATCATCCGCTGTCCAAAATAAAATTAGTCAGATGAAGGAACGCGAAATTGTTAAGACGTAAAGAAGGATGAGATCTGGGTGATTGAAATCCTTACGTAAATGCTGATTTCTACAATTTATATAACATCAATGCAATTACTGAACCGCTGGTAGTGATGATTTTCGTAATTGTTGAAAGATGTGCTAAATGTGACCAGTGTCCTGCTCATTTTCTCGCTTGAATACTGATCTGAAAGTAATATACTGACCAGCAACCAATTATTTTTACCTCAAATCAAATCTCGAACTCTTACCAAGAATCATTCTTACTCGCACACTGTGTAATTATGTGAATCAATTTGTATTCATTAAGACTGTCCTAATACACAATAAAGTTTTATTGCAAATTGTGATGAGATTTATAGTAATTTCTAGATAACAGGTTCAAAAGATAATTATGAAATAAGAGGATATAAAAAAAGGATAACCGAACATGTCGAAAGTCAGCATAAAATGATTGTAAATTATTGGGACAAAGAGTAGAGTACGGAATATCAGATATGGAATAGTGAACAGGATTACGTATGACTGACATTTTAGTTGTCTCTTTGCCGAAGTTTTCGAAGCATGTCAAAAGCTTGAGACCATTGGAAAATTTTGTCTGGCTGTATGGAATACATCCAAAATTAATCTAACGTTATTTGAAAGCAAATGACATGATGTGCCAGCACTAGTAAGTAGTTTGTCATGCAGTCAACATCATGTGGACGGAGTTTATTCACAGTAAGGGACACTAAAACAGATTGATGAGTGACTCGGGACAACATTATAGATGTTTAACCCATCTAAAATCCGCTGATGACTTGCAGACATAGGCTGGATCTCAGGAGAATAATATTTTTCATCATGAAATCCAAAGCCGCTGTTTTGAAATATCTGTTGAAGTGTCTTTTCCAATTTCGTTGTAAATGCATATTGAGTTGTTTTTAATCATGATCAATTGCTCATCTGTGTCCATTAATCAAAGGCTAAGAAGTTTACAGTGTTTGCCAAATGGAATCCAACTTTGCATCTTGCAGTAGAGTTTTATATGATAACACTTGTAAGCAACCATATACCACATAAGAGTGGAATAGAAAAGATAACAATCAAGGCAATTGAATATAGATTGCAACTCATAGATCCTCCTTAGTACCACTTCATAAATGAGATCGCGCTGATATTGTTCATATAAATGGCAACTTATTACTTACTTGGGCACAATTCATACTTTTGAATACGATCGATACTTTAAAGTGGGTTGTAAAGAGATACAAAAGTGCCACAGAAGTTAATGATATCTTTGACTGTAAAACCTTGTTAATTCAAGGATATCAACCTAGTCTAAACAAGTCAGAAATGGAGAGGTTCGAAGATATATCATCATAAAATGTCAAGGACTTACAGAACTATTTCTATCGAGGTTTTGTTTACCGCTACAATTGGGTTTGATGACATGTTTGGTAGGTTGCTGGTGTATAGAGAAACGTCTGATATAAGCCGGCAAATTGTTACAAGGGATGGGTAGCACGGCACACCAACTCATGACCAGGTGTGGATATGTGACCAAGCGCCTTTAGCCGAGATGTGTCCAGTAAGACTAGTAAAGTCAGCATCAAGAGCTATTTATTCAAAGTAAATAAATAATATATTTGTAATATCCCGATGAATAGAAAAATTAGATTTTCTGACCTTTCGTGACTGAGTGTAAGCCACTTCTTCAGAGAATAAATAACCAAATTAACAATAATTCAAGATTGAATACTACAACGGAACAACACGAACACTAGGTGATCAATCAAAATACAGGTCTGAATAAACCAATTTTATGTCATTTCATTTCGATCAAGGCGATTCATAAGTGACATGTATATAATTTTGTGTGTGTGTGTGCAGTGTTAAGACGAATATGTGCGATCATTATAATGGGAAAGGATAGAGTTTAATTTGTAATGTAATGGTGTGAAATTGTAAATAATATCAGACTAGGTGACTAGGATAAATATTACAAGTAGGATGTATGGTAACGCCTTCCTTTCTATTGAGAGCACTTGGATTAAGCATTATATGGAACGCTTCAGCTACTCTCGTTTCTTTGTAATTGGCAAAACGTTTCAGAGGTTTTATTTGCCGCTACAAGTTCACAAAACATAAGTGAAAAGTTGAGTAGGACGCTGATGGAGCGCTAATTTATTGTCATAAGTAGCAGTGAATAAATACACCACAAGTAGTTCTGCAAGTATTCAAAATTGATGCTTACCCCGCAAGTTTTACTGACCTCACTCCGGCTGAAGGCGCTCGCCAGACCACAATTGCCTACGCCGTACTGCACATCCCTCAAAACAGCTAATCAGCTTGAATTATATAATACTCGACATACAGGTTATATTCCAAATGAATCTTCAAACCCACTCAATCTACACCTATTGTTTGAAGAGGTTATACGACAGCTACAGACGACAGCGTTATCGAGTGTTGAATTTATTCGACAGTCCTAAACTTGAATAATCACGTAGTCGACCTATCACATGACCAAATGATTACCCACAAGACCACTGGGAAAATACCTCTTTTTCAACTCCTGGTGCATCTGAACAACTCCTTATGTCTTTTTATTCCTAACATTAAGAACCCAGAATTCAAGAGAAATTTATTTGGGTTTGTACATCACAGCATTTTATGAAGTAAATATATGTTGCTTTTCACCACAGATTGAAGTCATGGGTCAAGTTTAGGGAGCTGAATGACAGAATTGTAGCACGAACGGTCTATAGTGAATAAATCGACGGTTGTTGTTGGAATGCACTAATACCTAGGTTAAATTTCTGTGTGGGCTTACCATTTTGAGTGAGTTCGTTTAATTGCTGTAATTTGTCGTATTTGTAGTCAGTTAAGCATGAAGTTTCATTTGCAATGACAGATTAGCCTCTTAAATGGCTAGGTAACAAAGTGTTATTAGGACCACTCTTTGAGAACTCAGTTTTATAGTTTTGGTGTGCGCTGTTTCGCAGAAAGTAATCTATGCAATGTTGATAATCCGTTTATCTGTGGATACCCATAGTGTTGATTTCTTCGATCGCTGGTGTGAGCCCTCTTTCTATGTGCAACTGTAGTTATACGTTTTTTTGCAATGACCTTAGCTGTCCTATCGAAGTCGAGATCAGTTCGACTGTTAGTGGTCAAGTGCATTTATCTCAGGACAGCAAGGGTTTTAGTGTACACTTTCACCTTATTACGAGAGAGTCTTCTGGTTGTCCATGTATTGTTAAAATGTAATGAGAAGAAATAAGCAATTGCAGGGAGTTTCATCATTCCAGACATCCACGGATTAATGGCTTATGTGTTGACAGGTGTTTAAACAGTGCTTTATATACTTTTACTACCCAACCAAAGTTTATACCCACTATGTTTGGTTCAGTCCACTGACTTCCTTATCATTCTAAAGTAGATTCAAAGTGCCTCATGCCAAAATGTTTAAGTATTTCAGTAAAAGTATCTATGTATGAATCATTCGGCTCTAATCTTCCACTCTTTTTACTGAATTTTTTCAGTTTGAGTAAGAGAAAATAACCATATTTCATATGATATTTTTGTAAACTTTCGAGCTATCAAAGGTTAATCTACTTGTGAAGTAAAATTATAATAAACTGTGTTTTTGAACTATTTAGTAAGAATTTCAGCCTTAGTGCAACTTCATAATCCATAGAAAAGCATTCACCTACCACCGTAAATGAGAACAAACAAGTTCTAGTTTATTGCTGACCCGGTTCAATGAAACTTCCCGATTACTACATTTACTTGATACGCAGCTTATACTAGCGCTCTTATGAAGCTAACCAGTATGAAATTTGTGGATCAGTGTGATAGATAACACCGACTATTATGCCGTAGACAACGGAAGCCGTCAATCTGATTTCGGTTTGTAGACATACTTATCGAAATAACCTTACCACTAAAAATTATTCATGGTTGTTGTATCATTTGCACCTATACAAAACGTACTTCTGATTCATTCGGCTTGTGTTCTGGCTCGTATCATTGTTCCGGTCTCTCCAAATTGTATTAAGCTGGTCATTTTTTTATTAGTGAGTCTTCGAACTACAAGTCTTCATGAAGTTACTTTTTTTCTTCATGACAGACTTCGCTTTTGAACTTATATGCCACTAACGCGAATATTATGATGGAGGATATACAGGAACATAAAAGGGAGCGCGGAGAAAAAGTCCACCGGAAAAAGAAAAGTCGAGATTATGAGGTTACTGATCAAACTGCTAATCGCTTCCTCAATCATTTTTCGGACAACAGATATGAAAATGATGACCAAGATAACGGCCGTCATGATGCCGAGGCCACTGAAGGTTATGCTGACTTTTATGCTAACAGAAGACCTTACTCTTCAAGTCGAGTCGTTTGTAGGGATAGTGTAGAAAGGGCGTACTCAAACGAGAAAGCAGAACGACATAGGCCGAAGAAAAAACCACAGAGACATGAAAATGTGTCAAATGTGGCTGGTATGGGACACAAATATTCTGTCGATCACTATCAAGAAAGTATCCATAGTTACGTCAGTGAAAATGAAAATCAGTACAGAAGTCGCACAGGTTCTCGAATTTCTCAAAATCAAGTACCATATCATCAAGATGAGGAAAGTGGAGTGTCTGGATCTATTCGTTATGATGGCTCAGTACCACCTTCTCCCCTTTCAGGCAGCATTCCCATTTCTAATGGTCGTTCTGAGGAACGCCGAGAATCTTCCTTGGGTTTACACAATAATCTGCACTCTGAATCCTACTCAAGTTACGAACAACGCTTGCCAGATGATGGACATTCTAATGCGCTTGTTGGGAGTGGACGGGAATTTTGGAATCCTGAATTCGGACAAGGTCAGCATGAACTCTTACCTCACCAAAATCTACCTGAGGTTTCACCAACGAAAAAAGTATTATCAAAGTTATTCGCTTCCTTTAAGCGACGCAAGCCGAAAGCTCATGTATCACAAATCACCAAGCCATCTGATAATTCTACATCAGTTTGTGTCATTATGCTTGATGGTGAGGAGCTTGTTTTCCAGTTGAGTCGTGATGATATTGGTCAAGTTCTTTTCGATCAGGTGTGTCATAACCTAGATCTTTATGAAGCTGACTATTTCGGACTGACGTTTGTCAGTAACAAAATACGTACATGGGTGAGTTTTTTAGTAATTATATTTCATCTTCGTACTCTGAATTCTATTATATTAATAAATAACCAATCTTTGTAAAATTTGTAAACAACCTCAGGTGTTAATCAATATTAGTGTCTTACAGAAGTCGAGCTCGCAAATTCCCCACAGTAAAGTATTTGGTTGGGTAATTTGTTTGTAGTGACAATTAATATTCCTTGATATACTGTACCAAAACTATTTTTATCTTGTTTTTGGCATCAGTAATAATATAAGTTGATACCTATAACTATACCTTTGTTTCACAATTCTTTAACTCGCCTTTTTTCTTATAGAAAACTCATGGGTTGAAGCTTTTACTACAATAAGTGTTACTATATCGATATTGTATTCATTTGTTTAGGCACGATCATCTGTAGCCGAAAATCGAGGCCCGTTTTTTATTATCAATCTGATTTATCTGTTAGACAACTAATAAAGCCTATAATCAGTGTTCAAACTAGATAAGCGAAATTGAGTTGATCACTATTGAGTCGAAATGCTTTGAGGTATTATGAATAACTAGTGTGGTGTATTTATCCCTTTCTTTTTCAGTTTTGGCTGGATTTACAGACCAAGATTGGAAAGCAGTTGCGAGGTAAGTTGTATTCTAGTAATCTTTTATCCATTGGTCGCTTTCTATATGTATAATGCAAGTTACTCCTATTCCGAAAAGCTTTAAATCGTATTTTCCAATGGATACAGTTTTAATAAAAACTATCATCAAAAAGAGAAATTCCTCCGCCGCATATTTTTATAACTTTTTCACTTAATGAGTAACTGTATGCCGCAGCTTTAAGTCTGGGATGATTTTATTCAGGTTGGCTTTGTACAAACTAAATATCTGAATCTCAAATATTACTCTGTCGTTCATTATTTAATGATCAATTGTTCGTTGCTTTTATGTTTATATGTTTTTAAGTAATCAAAATATATCCATTGACGCATAACATAAGATAGACTGTTTCGGCGAATTCATTTTCAAAGCTGTACAATCGCATATATATATATATATATATATATATATATATATATAATTTTTCGGGATTATAATAATCACCATAACAATAATAAAGTTCTGTTAAACATGGTAACAGTGAGCTAGTATAAACAAAGGTATTAAAACATCTTTCCATCATGGTAACTGATAATAGTTATATTGTTAAGGGCTTGAATATCAGTCATTAAGATAAGTAAGGAAATCATAGTTAGGAAAGGATGGTTCAGCATAGTAGGGCAAAATGTTTAAATTGAGATGAAATGTAATCAGAAGCATCCAAGAAACAGAAATAAACCAGTTTGGGAGTAAAAGGTCTATGGAGAAGATAAAACAGGAAGCAGATGGCTGTGAAGAAAAGTACAAAGAAGAAAGAAGATTATTTTATTTATACACATAAATATTGGTACAAGGGGGTACCACATACATATACGCCCCACAAATCAAATGAGATTAGTGTGAGGACTGTGATACTGCTCAGGTGCCCAAACTGAAGCAGGTGGTTTTCTTAGGGGACCACACCCGGAGCCTTTGACCTAAAGGTCTGATCCACAAGGCAGTGGAGCATCTTAAGGAGATGCAGTCCCATGGTAGCTGGTGACCAAATAATTGGTTCATACACCATTTGTTCCCTCAGGATCCTGGAGCTCATTTGCACCATTTGTTTGGAATCAGGGTTTTCCAACTCCCGGTTAAAGCGCCGGACATTCGCTTTTCGTCCTCTCACTTTCGTGAACAACACCCCCGCCACGAGAAGGCAGTGCGTAGGACTTCCCTGGCAGAGGCTATATATACGCGTGGCCATGTGAGAGTATTTCGAGAGGGAGAGCGGACTCTCCCCACTCTCGGCCATACCAGGGCATTTGGGGGCATTAAGACTATAGTATAAATAGTGGTTGTACCGTTTTCGTTTGGACACACAATCCTGGTTCTTTCAGATGTATAACTATTGCTTCGGCAATGCTAAGATGCGATATCACAGCCTTTGGCAGCCGTCTACTTACCTTGTAGATGATTCGGCCCCCAAATGCCCTGGTACGATCGAGAGTGGGGAGATTCACCTCTCCCTCTCGAAATACTCTCATATGGCCAGCGAATATATAGCCTCTGCCAGGGAAGTCCTACTCACTGCCTTCTCGTGGTGGGGGTGTTGTTTACGAAAGTAAGAGGACGAAGAGCGAATGTCCGGCGCTTTAACCAGGTTGGTGGACATGAAGGGTCCACCTAGGGGAGTTGGAAAACCCTGATTCCAAACCAGTGATGCACATGGGCTCCAGTATCCTGGGGGAACAAATGGCGTACGAATCAACCGTTGATCACCAGCTACCATGGGACTGCATCTCCTCACGATGCTCCACTGCCTTGTGGACCAGACATTCAGATCAAAGGCTCCAGGTGTAGCCCCCTAAGAAAACCACCTGCTTCAGTCTGGGCACCTGGGCAGTATCACAGCCCTCACACAAATCGAATGAGATTTGCGAGGCGCATATTTATCTGGTGCTTCCTTGTACCAATATTTATGTGTTTAAATAAATAATAATAAATGTAGATGATTCGAACGGTTACAAATTTTTTCTTGGATTGCCTGAGAAATGTTTAATCATTTCCATTTAGTTAGTTTCTAGCAGTATTACTATTTGGCAAACTCCTTGAATTTACATATATCACATCTTTTTAAACAAACAGTATTATTAATAGTTGTGAAAGATCGTTCATTTTATTTGAAATACATGGACCGTTAGGAATATATATCTGGCATAGTAACCAGTTTTGATAATGGTAATGAGCTTAACTCCGCCTGTTGCACTTCTAGGGTTCTGTTGGTCCTAAGCCCACAAAAGGGGGAGGGTTGGGCATCAGGTCAGCAACCCCATCTCTTAGAAGATAACCTTGCTGAAAAATCGCTAACCGAAATGGACGAGCTAAACAATTTAAACTGTGCCTTCCGGGTTAAAGGATCTTCTTTCAGAAGAATTATGACGCCTCATGATGAAAGCCGAGATTCTCCGAAAGTTATGAGGGCCATGCCCCTTCTAACAACCAGAGCAACAGTTTATATAGGTACATGGAACGTCCGGACATTGTGAAAGACTGGAAGGACTGATCAAATAATTACGGAAATCAGGAGATAGAACTTGGTGAAGCTCAGAATGAGTGAAACACTTTGGACCCAAGCTTGACAAAAAAGATTAGATATGGGAGAGATACTGTTATACTCTGGTCACGAGGAAGAAAATGCTCCTCACACCCAGGAAGTTTCATTGGTGCTGTCCAAAGAAGCACGAAAAGCGCTTATAAGATGGGAATCTCATGGATTCAAAATCATCAAAGCATCCTGCAAAAACAAAACAAAGAGAGAGGAAACCACAGTGAATGTTATCCAACGTTATGTACCCACCAATGGCAATGGCGAAGGCACTAGTCAGTCTCACGAGAGGCTGCAATCAATCATAGCGAAGTGCTCAGGAAAGGACCTGACCATCCCGACGGGAGACCTAAATTCCAAAGTTGGAATGTACAGCATGGGGTATGAAGATATCATCAGACGACATAGACTGGCTGGGAGAAAGGAACGAGAATGGTGAGACTTTTGAATTCATGTGCATTCAACAAAGTGGTTATATGTGGCACAAACACCTACACATAGCTTCATGGTTCTCACCGGACCACACTACAGAGAACCAGACCGATTATATTTTTATCACTAAAAATTCAAAGGTCAATGGAGGACGTGAGAACCAAGAGAGGAGCTGACATAGCTTCAGATCAGCACTAACTGTTGTTTGCCAAGATGAATCTGAAGCTAAAGAAGCACTAGACAACTGGGTAAACCGCGTTACAAAGGTTCGATATAGCTTTCCTTCGAAATACTGACAAGCTTAACCAACTCAAGATAACTCTCTATAACAGGTTCCAAGTTCAACAGGATCTACTAAAGGAAACCACTATGGAGGACAACTGGAAAAAGATTACCAGCCAAAGCATTGAAGTCAGACATGGAAGCAGCTGCAAACATGCTCCACGTTCTATCCAGGAAGATTTGGGAGGAGGAACAAGTGCCGACAGACTGGGAAGAAGAATATCTTATCAAGATACCAAAGAAAGATCTCAGTCAATCAGCTACAACGTAGGACCAGGCACATATATGCATCGGTCCAAGTTGCCATACCTCGTTAGCACAACAAGATGAACACCGGATTCATAGAAGTAATTAATTTAGTGGTGGTAGTAGTATATAAATTATAGGTTGTATATAAGGATATAGTACAGGAAGGAGGAGAGATATGAAGCAATTTTAGTTTCAAGGTTTAAAGGAAGATAAAGAGTGTATACACCTACGCCATTGTGATCGATTCTGAGCCATGTCACCTAGAGTCTCCAACCATTGGTTACGATAGTCACGCGGACCCCAACCAGGTGGTCTACATCTGCCAACATGGCTTAGACTAGAAGTTAGTGACTTCAAGCACTGATGCCATGTTTTGGTTTGGTTGCCCCTAACTCTCTTCCAACCATCCCCAATACTAGTCAGCATTGCGCGTCATGGTAATCGGTGTTCAGGCATGCGTAACACGAAGAAAGATCTGAGCAAATGTGAGAACTTACGAGGCATCACACTACTATCGGTGCCAGGGTGAGTTTTCAATAGTGTTGCCGAACCGGAAAGACTCAATAGACGCCCAACTTCGAGATCAACAGGTTGGATTTCTGTAAGGATCGTTCGTATACACTACCGGTCGTCGTTGAACAATCAAATGTATGGAATTCGTCACTTTACATCAACTTTCTTGACTATGAGTAAGCGTTTGACAGTGTGGTCAGAAGAATCTCGCAGAACCTTCTTCGACTCTGTTGTGTTCCTGAGATCGTCAACATCATACAGAATTAATGTGACGAACTACAGTGCAAAGAGTTGCATGAAGGACAGCCGACATATTCATTCCACATGAGGACAAGAGTCCGACAAAGCTGCTTACTCTCGTCCTTTCTCTTTCTTGCGGTGGTTGACTGAATTATGAAGACCTCCACATCTCAAGAGAAGCACGGGGTACAGTGGGCAGCTTGGATGTAACTAGACGATTTGAACTTCGTAAATGACCTGGCTCTTCTATCCTATACACAGCAACAGTTGCAGTTGAAAACAGCCAGTGTAGCAGAAGCCTTTACAGCTGTAGGCCTCATCATTCGCAAGATCCTCAAATACAATACTGATAATACCAATCCAATCACATTTGATGGAGAAACTCTGGAAGGGATGGAAACTTTCACGTACCTGGGCAGCGTCATTGATAAAGTAGGGGGCTCTGATTCAGATGTAACGGCAATTATTGGCAAAGCGAGGACAGCATTCCTACCATTGAAGAACATATGGGACTCAAAACGAATGTCAACCAATATCAAAGTCATAATCTTCAATACGAACGTCAAGATAGTTCTACTGCGCGGAGCTGGAACTTCAAAACTACCACAACCATAATCAGAAGGTACAAGTATTTATAAACAATTATCTACTCAAGATACTGAATGTCCGTTGACTGGATACCATCAGCATTTGCTTACTGTGAGAAGGAACAAAACAGCTTTCAACTGAAAAGGAAATTAGGAAAGGATGTTGGAGTTGCATAAGACAAACATTGCCGAAATCACTGAATTACATCACGAAGCAAGCACTAACGTGGGATCCTGAAAGAAACAGGAAAAGAGGAAAACCAGGGATCACATTGCGTCGGGAATTGAAGGCAGATATCAAAGACATGAATAGGAAGTTTGAACAACTGGAAAGGATTGCCAAGAGCAGAGTTGGTTGGAGAATCCTGGTGGGCGGTCTATGTTCTTCCACGAGGGGGTCACAGGCGTAAATAAGTAAGAAAACTACAAACGAAACTTTCACATTTTATAATTTTTGAAAAACATTCGTTTGGTTCACACCACATGATAAGTTTCGTATCAATACAAGACGACGATTTTATTCGTTTTCTGACCGAGGTTATTAGGGGCTCATAGGAACTGATTTATAAATATTTAATTACTGCTATCCAGTAGTACGATTGTATTTTATGTACTTGTAAGGTAATATCTTCGGTTTGGATTGGGTTGTTTCCATTGAAGTGTCACGTAATATCACTGTTATATGACCTAATTATCAGTCAACGAATAAAGGACCTAACTTTTACAGTGTAATTTATTTGATTAATTTATGGGATACTGGACTTATTTTCGTTGTTTAATATCTACATGTACACATCCTAATCTTTTTTTTACCACCTTTTCTCACTAGATAACGAGGAACGGTTATTTTATTTTCAAGTTAAATTCTACCCCCCTGAGCCATCCTTGTTGCAAGAAGAGTTGACACGTTATCAGCTTACTTTACAAATTCGACAAGATATTTACACTGGGAAACTTCCTTGTTCGTGGGTTACACAAGCATTACTAGGTTCATTTATGATACAGGCAGAATTAGGCGATTTTGACCCGGATAAACATATTGGGTTAGATTATTTAAATGAATTTGAATTTGTACCATCACCTACACCCCAGTTGTTGAAAAAAATTGTGGAATTGCATAAAACTCATAGGTGAGTAGTTTTTTTGTTTAGGAAAGTATGTAAATTCATATTTGATCTATTTGGTCATCACAAGTATTCATAATCTAAAGCACTCAGTCATCTGGTGATGGTGATGACATCACTGAACTGTTGCTCGAAACTTTGAGCTATTTAAACTAAACATCATTCAGCTGTTATCACAGTCTTATTCCTTACCTGAAATGGTTTGGTCTTAATTTTTTTGCCGTTAAACTAAATTGTCTCAACAAATAATACTGGTTCATTTTAATTTGTTTGGCTTTAAGTGTTTATTTATGTGAATAATAACTAAGGAAATAAAGTGGAGAAACCTTTAGGTGTTTACATCACTCCAATTTTACTGACGTACAGTGTTTAAAATGATCAGCTCAGTTTTTTTTCGTAAAAGAAGTGGCTACTTGTTTCCGTATAATATCACAGAACCCATGACTAGTATACATGATTATTTATCGTCATATGATCCTGGTGGGACGTCAGTAATATTGTTCTAAATCTGCTTGCCTTTGGAGCCATTCGACTTGGTTATGAACCGAGGGAATTATAAAGTTTCAAAAAGTTAGTTTTGTCAGTTAAGGTGTTTGCAAGGTGTTTCTTAATTTGACATTTAAGTGATTGGGTTAGTATTTATCAATTTTTTGATAAAAACTGTCTCTGTACCTAGAATAGACTTGGTCTGTTTTCAAACTACTGAGGTTGCGCAACTAAACGTCGAAATTTATTGGCCAAAGATTTCTTGTTTCCAGTCTAAGTACTACATGTAACGGCGATCTCAGTGGGAAATATCAAGCTGAAGCATTGATCTTTGTTTTCACTTAATTCATTTCCTTGCCGTTACATTACGAGGTATGATGACCAAAATTTTCCGTTCATTGCTTTCAGCAGGCACAAATACTTCTCAATTTTATTGAGTGATATTTGTGCTTGCAGCTTTTTATGTATCAACTGCACCCGATGTACAGTTGTGCTGGATCCTACGTTGATCGTGACTGATTGAAAGCTTTTAAGTTCTGAAAACAGCGTCACTGTTCCAGTTGTCAGCCACTGTTTAATGTATTCTAATTATTGGTATTAAAATTTGCTTTATATTTCGGGTTTATAAACATTTCTTTTTCAAGATCAATTCTTATCATAGTCTTCAGTTTATATTTCTTCTATAGTAAAGTCTAAATGTAAGGTTATGATAAAAGTCGTTTTATCTTTTATCATTATTATTTCTCGTGTCATTGAGTTTATTATTTTCATTGGCATTTACTGAAATAATTTCTTAGGTAAAGCTTAGTGTAAACCATCATGTTTCTACATTGTCATTTTAATTAAACAGCCCGCATTCCAATATTTATATAATTATTAAGTTATTATCGACGGATTTTTTATCTTAACTATTTTATTACATATTGAGTTGTATACTCTGAATTGTATTTAATGTTCTTTAATTAATAATGATAAATGTTTAGTGCTTTATGGATGGTAACATATCCTTCTGGTAACTGAATGAATAAATAAAGCATTTAATTTCTGGCCGTTAAGTGTGCTCTTCTCCGACTCTACTACTCCTACTTCATTTCCAGATTGTACTAATAAGCGTCATACACCAAAGATGTGGCTGGGTGCATAACTATGTGCTTAACAAATAATTTATCTGAATAATACTTCGGTTTGGGCACCCAGGGAATATTATAGCCCTCACACATATCAATGATAACCACAGCTGGAAAAATTACTCTTGCTTCAACGTTCACTCAGGCAAAGCTTATTCACAATCATATAACATTTGTTTTTATTTATTTCATACTACGTCACTTATGTATTCCCCTTTATTTTCATTTTGAATATTTTATTTTTCAACTTATACAGCAGCTCGCGTATGTTAGAAACCCTGCCCTATCCAAACGATCTCAAGCCACCGATTGATCGGAATTTGAATGCTATCACCGACTATGAATATTGAATCAGTCTTTCTGAAATCACGTATACCATTCAAACTGGCTTCCTTCAATGTTCGCACACTAATGTAAATCGGACAACAGATAGGGTTGTCTATGTCTTTAGAAAGTCTCAATATTGATGTCCGGAGCTTTGAATGCACAGGTCGGACGTCTAGGCACAGAAGAGAGTCGTTTAGGTGGTCGATGAGGAATTGTTGGTTGCAGGTCAGATAATGATGACCGTCTACTGCATCTATGTGCAGACTACAACATGTTTCTGTCTAGCACTAACTACCGGCACAGTCATCGCTAATATGCTCCCTGGCGTCCTCCCTCTGCATTTAAGCTTGGATTCAGATTGATCACATCTCGATCAGCCACCTCTGGCGTGGTTCTGTTCGAGATTGCCGCTCATTTGGGAGTATCTATCTGAACTCTGATAGTGCCTTTGTTTGCGCTAGTCTTACCTTACTTTTCAGTGGTCAACAAATTCATCGTCCTAAACGGATCGATGTCAACAAATAGGTTGAAGCTTCTGTCGCAACTAAATAAATAGTGGGAGCGTACCTGCGAGTTGAAAGCATCAACTGCATCTGGTAACTGCCAGAAGCTCTTTAAACTTATCCGAGTCACTGGCAGCACAACATCTGGTGTAAGTGAAACAACCTGTGAAGATTATCGGATGACAATCACTCGCATCTTAGACGTCTTGGACGATGGATAGAGTTTCTTGAGGAGCAGTTCGACTGGTCTGCTGCCTCGATGACATCGACCAGACTGTCCTACTGCCCATGGCCTGTGACGACTGTTCCACTCAACGGGGCTGAAGTCTGCAAGAAACTTCAACTCTTGAAGCATCACAAATCACCAGGCCTAGACTACTTGTCCTTCCTGAAGATGGTGGTGAATTTCTGGTTATGGAACTGACTGATTTATTTACAAAGATCTGGCAATTAGAGAGTGTTCCAACATCACGAAATGATTCAATAGTTGTCCCTCTCTTTAAAAAGGGTCCACGTTGTTTCTTCAACAACTATCGGGGGATGAGTCTACTTCCGATTGCGCCCAAACTATTGGCTTCCGTCATACTTCGTAGATTGTTCAAAACTCGAGAATGATTGACTCGCGAGGAGCAATCTGGTTCTGGTCGGGGATGTATTAATCACATTTTCATCTTCCGCCAAATGTAAGAACATCGTCATACTTATCACAGGTCAACAATCGTGTTTCTTGACATTAGAGCCCCCTTCGATTCGCTGGACAGGACTGTCCTGGGATTGTCTACTGAAGAAGGGTGTGCTTGAGAAGTATATTCACATCTTAAAATCCCTATACACTAATACCTCAGGCAAAGTGATGGCACACAACCAATTGTTCCATCCAGGTAGTAGAATTATATAGGGTTGCCCAGCCTTCCTCAACTTTGCCTTCGAAGGGTGTTCCAAAAACAAGTCTGATGGATGTAAGTGGTGGCGGTTTGGATCTGTTGCCTAGAGAAAAAGTTTTCGACCTTAGTATGCGGATGATATTGTCTTACTGTACGATGATACACAAGCCATACAATCTACACTTAATCAGTTGCCAAACAGTATTCGTAGGTATTGCATGTGCTTTGCACCTTCGAAGTGCGAAGTACTTTTACAAGACAGATAGGATCCTGGTCCTGCAGTCACCCTGGGTAGTGAGCAGATAGAAGTAGTCGAGAAGTTCATGTATCTGAGTAGCTGCACAAGTGCTGATGGTGGCGTGAGTGATTTAATTAATTCACGTATCGTAAAAGCCAGAGTGACTTATGCCAATCTGGTCCATCTTTGGCGTCTGGGTTATGTTCGCTTGGCTATAACAGGTCGGATCTACAACGCGTTGGTGAGAGCAGTTTTGCTCTATGCTTGTTAGACCTGGCTTCTCCGAGTCCAGAATGTTAGACGACTCTCTGTGTTTGATCATCGTTGTCTTCAAAGGATTGCTGACATTCAGTGGTAAGACCATTTTGGTAATGCAGAGGTCCGGCATCGTGTGTTCGGACACATCGATGTTGATTCAGTTGGTGTCACTACCTTGAAACATCGACTTCAGTGGCTTGCACATGTCTTGTGAATGTCTTCCCAGCGAATCCCACGTCGCACATTATTTGTCGACTCTGGGACTGATTGGAAAAAGCGGAGGGGTGATCATTGTATGACATAGTGTCGTGGTATGAAAGAGAGTTGTACAGGACTAGTTTCTGTTGATCCATCCCCACTTCCTGGTTGGGGTCCTAGAGATAGTGCAACACAGTGGTTAGAGACATTATCAGAAGCAAGTGTCGTTCCTGCTGTTTATTTTTCACTTCCTTCCTTCATAAAAATGAACGTAACTTGTTTAACTGAAAGGATTCTTTCTAGTTTTATTTTTGCTAACTAAACTGCTTGTATTATTATTATTATCATTATTATTTCACTTTCAGACAATTATTTCTGTTCATTATTGTTGTTGTTTTCCATCACGCACACTTCACATTCTCTATCTCTTCACAACTTCATTGTTATTGTGTGGCGCATATGTATTTGGTACCCCCTTGTGTTCCAATAAATAAATAAAATGCTATTTATTACTCATTATTTAGCGTGTTTGTCATACTGTGGTGTGTGCTACTAATGTCCATAGATATAAGTGGTATGTGTCATCAATCGAAAGTGAAATACCTGACAGCAGAATGTTATGAAGAGAGAACAAGAACATTGAGTGATTGCTGTGGAAATGAAGGAACAGTAAAGTCTGAGACGACTGATTGACATTGGCAAAAGGAATAGTCAAGTTAAAGGCAATTGATTAACGTTTCGCAAATTAAGTATTTAATGTATGGTTGTCAGATTTTAATAGGATGTTCTGTAATTTTGTGTTCAAATGCATTCGATTGTCCTCACTTGTGTTCTCGTTCACTGCGATATGACCTAAAGTTTACAAGTTCGATCCTGTATTCATTGGAATGTGTTCATTGATAAAGAACCATGAATTATAAGTTAACACCACTTCTGTGGCTTATTGTTTTTAGTGCTTAATAAAACTCATTTTAATTTTATATCTACTAGTTTCGGGTGGATAAGGTTTACTCTTAAACATATACTGATTCTTTTCGCGCATATAAACAAATCTGTTACAACTACATTCTCAGAACGCGTTGAATATACTCAATTTAGCGCATGTAACGCAAGAATATATATGTACGAACACGCTTTACTAATGACACACTTTTCACTTTATTTCAGTGGTATGAAACCGAATGAAGCTGATATCAAATATTTAGAAACTGCGAAACGGTTGGAACTATACGGTGTTGATTTACACCCAGCTAAAGATACGGAAAATGTCGATATTTATATTGGCGTTGGTTTTCATGGTGTAGTTATTTATCGTGACCGACTGCGTATCGGTCGATTCGCATGGCCTAAGGTTCTACGTATCTCATATAAAAAAAATAATTTCTACCTAAAAATTCGACCTGATTATGTAAGTTAGTTGGTTTGCTGTAAATGCTTACTTTTATGTGTGAAAAAAGATGAAATACAGTTACTGTTTTACACTTTGTACACATTGAATGAAATGCACATCATATGAATAGCTACCATAGTTTTTTGATATCAGAGCTACCTAATTTAATTTGTGAGGGTTTCAATTGTCCCACTGTCTATAATCTCAACTGGATTTTTATCAGTTTTAGTAGGGTTGTGTGAGTCCTGTGATGATTGCTTCGATATAGCCGTATTGTTACAAGTTTTATTGAATAGATGCATTGTGCCAAGCCTTGGAATGCAGGATACGCATTTCATTTTATTTGTAACTCGTCATTTGGATGTACTTTCTTCACCTAAGGACTCGTACTTATTACCTTTCGCTTCAAACATCCGACAACTTATCCACCGAACAACAATCCATCTATTTTATAAAACTTTTAGCTACTTTAGTTTGGAAAATTATAACTTTATGCGTCACTAACGTGTTCAATCTTAGTCAGTTACAGTGTAATGAATGCTACTCACATGATTACTTATAAGTGGTATATAACGAAACGTCTCGTAGAAGTTGCTACTGTCGACAGCCGGAGAGACGAGTTCCGGGAGGTCAAAAAGCATAGGGTATGCAGAATACGTTAGATACCAGAAAGGAAGCAAGAAAAAGCAATATAGATCCAACGTGGATTGAAAAACACAACAGAATGCAAAGAGATGATTAGAGATTAGGTGTACATATTTCATAAACATTAATGTAATTTCACTGAATAAATATTCTTTTAGCCCAGTGGCTTGTTTTGCAAGAGTATCATTTGTCTATACAACTCATTTTACATAGTATTCTTTCACAACATATATGGGTGCATCTTAAGGTCATCAGTAACATTTCGAGGCATTTTTTCCGTGCATATGCTACAAAACCAAAATAATTTGATCTAAACTTGTTTCACTAACATCTTCCATAATTACACTTTTCATTTAAATTCACTTGGCATTGTTTGGTTGAATCTTCCCATTGACATTTAGGACTGCAAGTGATCAATCTCTTATTGGTCATATGTGCATACGGTGCGTATTGCCTCGATATAGCCTTAATTCACAAGCATTATAAGCAAAGATGGATGGTGGCTAGCATTCCCAAATAGGACGGAACGCATGTCCTGGATTCCACTGCTAACCACCATCCATCTTTGCTTATAACACTTTTCAGTTTATAATTTTTAATGGAGTTAATATTCGAGTTTGTACAAAAGAGAATCATACTAAAAATAAATATGAAAGCAAATACTACAGCTTATTAAACATATTTAACTACTCCTTGTTGACTTTTACCAACATATTGTACATATCGCGATCCTCATATTATCACAGGACTAGGTGCTCAGATAATCCGTAACTATTTGTCACGAAACTTTATTCCATACGTAGCTAGTAATAATTTTATTGTCCATTTTTCTTATCCGCATCCTTGGTATCTGCGTGCGTGTATGCACCATGATTTTTGCCTTGTTGACCAAAATGTTTTTCTGACTGTAAATGACCTTAAGTATTCTTTCAAAGCAATTTCTTCATTTTACTGGTACCCTTTGCAACGTATTTATATAAAATTTCCATGTTTAACATTACTATTTTATTATTTTCAGTTAGGTATTTTATGGAATTTTATAAATTTTCTCAACTTCTTCACCCAGTTCTACTCTCTACCCCGTTAACCTCATGAAAATATTGTAACTGTATGATATGTTTAAGTAGTTTTTTCACCCACAAGTTATTGTTAGATTAAATTCTTAAGCAAGATAATACATCATCATTCGAAAAATTATAAAATATTTTATAGATCATTAGTAATAATTTAATGTTTTTATTGGCATTCGCTAACGATGAAAATGGTTTTCGTCAAGGACTTACTTTGTCTGAAGAATCACGGGTGACCAATCAATATTAAACAGTTTTTTAATACGAGACTCATCAGCAGTGCTCACCTACAATCTTACACTGAATCACGCTACAATAGCTGACGTTGAAAGTATGAACCATTTGATTGTGAAATATTGCTCTTAGAAGCATCGTGTTCCGATGAGACATGAAGATTCTGGGTTTTAATGGCGTTTAGACTGTGGGTGTGCTCTGTTGAGGAATCACACACTGAGAAACGGTTGTTCAGTGCCCCATCATTTTTAATGGTCTCAGTTGAACAATTTTTCTCAAAGAGTGTAAACTTTGCAAAGAGTCCATTTGAAAATTATCATTTACATTAGTTTAAATTAATGTTGGCATTGTTGGATTATTTGGTACTTTTTTTGGCTGATCTACTTATTTGTGATATTATAGGTTATTAAAGTTTTAATGGACGTCAACTTTTTGTAGATATGATAATGACTAATATATTTAGTAAAAGTACTGTCTCCAAAACGTCGACTGAGTCTTTATTGGTAGCTGACTCCCATACTTTGACTTCCTCATTAATCAACTACTGGATATCGAAATTCTTGTCACTGGATCAAAACCAGGATACTAACAATCAGATAGATTAACTTTATTTTTTATACGGAGTTCATATGTTGACGGTTTTCTCAAAACCAACAGGTCTACTTATTTTCTCGACTACAAAAATTCCAATTCTTTTTTTGTCTTAGATATGCTTTAGTTAACTAAATAGATAATATTAGCCCCATAATGTACTTATGTGCTTTTATAAAAAGTTGGTAACGACCATATGAGAATTCACACATCAAGTAGATTATGCAATGGGAAAGAACGCCATCGAAGCGAAAACGGTAGTAAATAATTGATGGTATCATTGTTTCTATACATATAACGAGTTTAGGGATTTGTCCTCTTCGTGTTCATTTTTCGATGAACTACTAATCTGTCCTAAGTATAGTAACATAATTGTGTTGAGCATGAGTATAAGGTACTTTTATGGTAATTTTTGAACATATCATCTACTAATCCATTCAGTATACTCATTTAGTAGTGAAATCAACTTGTAAGGGTAACGCATCTATGAAACTAGTCTTTGATGTTATTGGTACACTACTGTAGGGGATTTTTTAATAGAAACGATTAAGTAACTACATCATGTATTGAATTTACTGGTCAACAGAATTTCGGAAACATGTTATCTTTATTGTTTTATCGTGAAGTCCTATTTCATCTACTTTCAAATTTTTGTAATGTTAAGAAAATCTTTTTGCTTAGACGTTATATGTGTACAAATTACAGCTAGGGAAAAATAAATCCTTTATTCCGTAAACGTATCAATGATATTTCTCTTTGATCGATGTCACATTCAAATTAAGCCAGTCATTCACAAAACTAGTATTCTTTGCACTTTTTGTTTTCTGCTAACTAACTAACTGTCATAATCGAAACTACTCAAAGAAAACTCACCTAGTAAACTGAATTAAATTATCAAAGTTTACGCTAAACTGCAATTCACTACACACTGAATTGATTTATTTTGGCTAGACTTATAAGTCATTTAGTGAATAAATGAACAGAAATGTGTGTCTGTGTGTGAGAAAGAGAGCAACGAAAATGAAACTCGTTTTCTTACTCGTACACGTAAGTATGCTACAACTCTAATTGATAAACAGTGCGTAACAAACAATTTTTTCATTTTGTCTTAGTATCTTTTATGCAGTTCATCTAATGAGAGAAACAATTGTGTGACCGTGTTGTACGAATAGTTTGTCATATTTTCGGTTTTTCCAATATCGTGTTTACGTTTTCTACAAGTGTTTGTTTGTGTGTATATATTTGCTCATGCATGTCTAAATGAAATGTTACATGATCGATTTCCGGGTTTTAAATATATACGTTGGATGACACTAGTTTTCATGTGCATATTAATCAAATTGAAAGATGAGAATACATGTGTGTTCGAATATCCAAGAAACTGGCTATTTCAAAAACACTTTGGTCTTTCTATCACAATAACTAATTTTTGTTAGTGACTGAATTAAGTCGAGATTTTTTTCTGTGTAGTGTACACTTTCTGTCAAAAAGGTGTCGCATGTTTTTTTAGTACCCTAGGAGTAGTTTAACTATTAATCATAAAACAATCCGTTCTATACTGAATATTTGAAAGTTCTGCTTAGTAGGAGTCTTGTAACTGTTTACTGATCAATAGAATGAAACTATCATCCCATATTTAAGTAGTTTATATAATATGGTTGCCTTAGTTGATATTTTACACTTACATCGTTATTCTTTTCTTCTTCAAACTAAAGATAAATATACCTTAAGTTTCGCTTTGAATCAAAACTAGAGATAATTTGGTTTCATTTGAGGTATCAACACATACTCAATCATCATGACAGTTTGACTCATGTAATCTTCGCACTCATACACATGTGGATAATTGCGTTTACAATATTGAGATATTTTCTTGCCTATCTAACAGCTGTCTCTTTTTTGTTCAATTTTAGTCAGAACCTGTAGAAGCTATTGTAGGCTTTCGTTTGTTAAATCCACATTTAGCTAATCGACTGTGGAAAGCTGCCGTCGAACATCATGCATTTTTTCGACTGAAAGAAACGCCAGCACCTAAAAGACCTTTATCAACACCTAGTTTAAGTAAATCACAGTTTCGTTATACAGGACGAACATTTTTCCAATATCGTACAACGAATATCGATAGACCACATCCACGGTTTAATCGTTCAATTTTGAAGCGACGCACAGCAAGCATGCCTACTGGTTTAAATGCAGGTGAGTAGAATCAGTATTTTTCCTTTTTGTCAAAACAATTCAAAAACATTAATACGTTAGATTTTCTGACGTTAGATTGCAACGGTATTTTCAAACAAACAGTAAATGATGAGAAATAATGTTGAAAATTAATTGGTAACAAATATTTCAAGAAACAATATATACATATGTATTCAATATTTTTTGTTCGTATTTATTAGTGGAGTCAAGGACATAAGTTTCGTTCTTTTTATTCGGACGCTTTAGTTGCATACTCCTGCATCTCCATATTGGTGTTTACACCAGAATTAAAACTCAATGCTTATCGGTTCAAACACCGATACGTTATTCACTAATCCACTGAATACAGATAGCGACTAAATCGCTGACTGGGATAGTAGGAAGTCTTAAGATTATATTTACCAGAGTTGGATAGCGGCTAGAAGGAAACGTGTTTCTGTTTATTTGGGGCTCGTCAGCTTAATGTACCTGCATTTCAGAGTTGATATTCACTCCTGAACTCGAACCCAGTTCCCTTCGCTCCAAACGCCAACGCTCTATCCACTTAGCTACCGAATCCAGTTAGCCACTGGCTTTTGCAATCATGTGAAGCTTAGTTTTTTTTCCATTGGTTACTTGAATCTTACCCTTGATGTTTGGACTGCAACTGATCAGTCTTTTTTGACATATGTCCGCTAGCCACCGTTCAGCTCTTCAAAATACATATGGAAATAATTAGTGACAATATCACAAATTAGCGAGAAGCTATTCTCCTTTTAAAAAGGAAACAAGCAAAAAAAAGTAGACATTAGTGGAGAAAGGCAAATGGGTACGATAAGTGGTAACCTTATAAATAAGTTTCACATTTTAGTCCCAGTTATTTATTCTACTTTATTTTATTACTCAATGATCCTCCGAGAGAAATGTACTTATTGATCGATTATTATAGATGATTTGTTAAAAATTAAGATGCAAATTAGTTAAGTCTTAAGAATTTTGGGTACTTGTACTTTAAGATTATTATTCTAAGGTGCAATATTGATTTATTAAACAATAAGATGAATTTGTATTTTAGAGAATAACTTTATGTCGTTTAGGTTAACTAGTGTTAATTATACCGGTTTTCTCTCTGTGTAAAGGCAATAACTAATATATATATATATATATATACTAATGTGGTATGGGGTTTTTCTCTTGTATACCGATCATATTATCAGTGCTGTTTATTTAAACTGTAAGAAATGAAATGCTATGAATTAGGGTATTCGCAATACCATAATAATAATAATAATAAAGTTGTATAATTCGGAGAGTATGCAGTGTTATATTTCATGTATGATTGATAATTTTGCTACCGCTTTTTCTTTTCTTTTGATTTATTAACAAGAATGTTGTCCCGTTTTCTATAAGGCATTGATTCTGGGTACTTCATTGCATGAGTCAGTCAGCTACAACGTAGGACCAGGCACATTTATGCATCGGTCCAAGTTGCCATACCTCGTTAGCACAACAAGATGAACACCGGGTTCATAGAAGTAATTAATTTAGTGGTGGTAGTAGTATATAAATTATAGGTTGTATATAAGGATATAGTACAGGAAGGAGGAGAGATATTAAGCAATTTTAGTCTCAAGGTTTAAAGGAAGATAAAGAGTGTATACACCTACGCCATTGTGATCGATTCTGAGCCATGTCACCTAGAGTCTCCAACCATTGGTTACGATAATCACGCGAACCCCAACCAGGTACCTCTAACAGCACTCAAGACCACCGTATTCATTGTATGAAATCGTTTATATTCCTTATAAGTAAATAAATAAATAAGAAATAAACTCATTCATTTGTTTACTTACTGTCGTATACAATACAGACATGTGACTTCTAAAATATTTCTCTCATTATCACATGAAATACCATTATTTAACAGTACAATGTTGCCTTGTTGGAAATAATGACAGTTCGTTTCTTCACATACAATACTTGGTGTTATGGTTATTTATGGCATACTAACTGACTGCTAAAATTCCACTGTATATTGCGTAATATATCGAATTAAAGAAACTTTTGTCATAATAAAATTATCTATCTAATATAATTCTTTAACCAACTAGTAAAGTCGACCGTTATTCAGATCCAAAAATTGAAGTACTAATTTAGAAAGTCTTGATTAGTTGGTTTCTATTAACGTTTTCAAGGATAATAATGGGATATGATAAAATATCTAATCTGGAGTCTCTGTCTCTATAGGCTTACTGATTTATCCGAAAAGCCTGACTGAAAATCGTGAGTGCTTAAATTGTAGTATGTGGAACAGAACTCAAACCTGTAACTCATTAAAGGTTGAAAGTTGAACGTCTTCACTACTTAATCGCAGCCCCACCCTCGTTTAAAATAATTCAAAAGAAAAGATGATACTGACTGAAGTAAGAATAATATTATCGAGCGTAATGAGTTGATTTACTGATTGATTCAATGGAATTACATTTTTCGATTGGTAATTATTAATAGGGATATGAAAAACTATTATCAAAAGTGCTAAAACAACATGGAATAAGTTAGCAATGGATGGATTTTTCGACTATCATTTCAATCATTAACATTTTTGTTCATTTTACAAAAATACTAGTTGATTATCACTGAATTATTTGGGTTTTTTATTATTCTCACTGTATTACCATTTTTAATACTTACTCTATTTTTATTTTAAATTTCCGATAAAATAGTTTTGTTGTTCAATATTTTTTTTAATGTTCTACAGTTAGAAACTTTAGTTCTAATCATTAATTTCAGCTATGAATATACATACATTAAACAGAGCACATCCGCGTGATATGACTGTAGGCAAAATTCAAAATAATGACCAGTTACAAGGATTACGAAGATTTGGTTCTGTTCAAATGGGACATTATGGTAGTGGAGTAAGTTCTTTTTGCTTATTCTACTTTTTTGTCAAATTAGCAATTCATTACTATAAAATAACACGCTTAATCCATAATCATGTGCTAATTTGTGAATAATTTCGTAACAGATTCACGAAACCTCTGTAGAAATTCTGTTTGATGGAGTCTAATCATATCGCCAATTAACCAGTTACAGTAAATAACGAGTACACTATCCGTCGAATAGATTCAATTCGGAAATGTGAACCTTTCGATTCTGTCTCAGTGACTTAAAGGAATTGTACTCATATTGAGATTTCAGAGTCCTAGGCGCTTACCGTTGAAATCGTCGCAATTGTTCAATAGTTCTGCAATTGATACCGATCCGTGACACGAAAAGTTTCAGACTAAAATAACCTTTCGGATTTAGTTAATGATAACCTTACAATCAAATTGTGGTTTAATAATTTAACCACTTGTTTTTACTCACATACTTGTCTATACGCCTAATTCGTCCAACACCTCATTTGGTTTGGACGACTTGGTATTTAAAAAAACACTCATACGAAACATATAACATACACCACGGCATAAGAATATCTACTTGGTCACGGGGGTTACAAACGTTTTTTGTGTGACCAACTGTAATGAAAAGACGTTTGAGGACTCTTAAATGAATAAATAAAATTCACTGATCGATTGATGTTATGCTGTGATATAATTTAGTCGAGTGATAACTGTTCGTGAAACTGAATTATTGATGTAAGCCGTCAATTAAACTAATATAAGAAAACAGGACAGCCTTACAATATAATAGGGTTTTTGCAACAAAGTTACATGCTTATTTACAAAATACTGAACACAAGAAGAGACATTGATTACAAATCATTCGACAAATTAATGGTTGAAAGATGTGAGAATTGTAAGTCGTTCACTCTCCAGCGGAATTAGTACTTGATGTTCAAGCTTAATTCTTGCCTTGTTATATCATTAAGAACAAATGAGGTCTCTAGTAATTTTAATATTTATCGACTTCCAAACGATAATAAAAAGAACTACGTCACATTAGAGTAATTGTATAGTTGCTTTAATCATACAGATTAGTAGACAACTTTGTAGAAATTTAATGATTCGTTCTTCACTACTGCCTCTAATACAATTTTCTATATTAGTTTGTCGTTTTTTATATGTTGAAAAGAATCGATGTTTGTCCCTAGGAATTGTGCTTTTTTGTTACGGTAATTGGTTTTTGTTTACTATTTCAAAAAAGTTTAAATATTTTAAAATGTTTCTTATTTCATGCAGGAAATTAAACCTTATGCATATAAATTAGTTTACTTTGTGTAAATAATCTATTTTATTTTCATATGGAAATAAAACTAGGTATTGAGTCTTGAGTATAGTTGTAAGAAAAAGTCTAATGACGCCATTAGCTAAGTGTTCACTTTGACATTCCGATTTCTGTATATGTTTTCCTAATTCATATTATTCTACAGTCCAATAAACCATTTTGCCACAGTGTCTCACTAATTACTTTGTAAATTGAAAATGTGTTCTTTGATCGATCTTATTCAGTCTGCATTACCTTTTTTAAGGCATTGTAATAGTAAGTAGCTGATATCGCATGATTTTTTCATAGATATCATTTATTGTCTATACAACTCAGTAACTATCTCCCTTACTGTAGTACTAAAATAATACGAAATGAACTAAATTCATCTCTTACTGATTAGTGTTAATAAATTCTGTTTATTAACTATAAACATTGAGCAACTAACAAACGTCAAACAGTCTAATGATGATTATATTGCTTTGGATCATCACCGTTGAGCATTGAAGTGAGTATTCATTATTTATCATGTTACACAGATACTACCACTTATTATTATGGTGTCTGTTATTAGCTGTTAAAATTGTTAGTTGCAATCCGTGTGTTATGGATTCGTCAACATAAAAGTAGGCTAATGGCTCAAAATTTAGTACACATAAACCTGTCCACTTGATAACCGACTTACACTACTTAAAGTAAATATATGGATGATATAAAATTAGGCAACTTGTCTTTTGTGATTTTATAACTTTTCTCATTTAGATGGTTTAGAATAATGTACTTCAGAAAAAAACTGATAAATTTAAATTTATTTCTATCCTACATTCTATGTTTTTCCCGTAATCGATTTATTGATTGTGCGCATGAGAATTTGTGTATCTGTGTGAATCGCTCGATTTCTAAATAGACAGTTGTTGGAAGTCTTTGTCATATTTTAATAAAGTAATTATTTTTTATGTAATCTATTCCCACCGAAAGATACATTGTTTTAAGAAATTAATTTCACTAAGATTACTCATTTGAGTAATTATGTATTATCCGTTTATACCTCTATTTAATCCTTAACTTTGATTGTTTATTATGGATAATATTAGTGTTGTTTAATTTCAAATCCCAGATTTACAGCGAAATTTTCTGATTCAATCTACAAAACGTATAGCTAACAAATAGTTTGTCACAGCGCAAATGTGTCTTTTACACACTAGTTTTTATACGTGAGCATTATGTATATATCTGTTACGTATCATTTTAGGCAAATGGGAATAATGGTGCGACGCAATTATACGGCACTGTTCCACGACATCATCCATATTCTGAGTCTGTTGTGTCTGAAGTACAAGATGTACAGTCTCAAATGAGTAAACAATATAGTGATGGTGTTGCAAATAGTTTATCATATGGGTCTGTAAACGAAAGTTATGACAATGAAGCTCCTTATAATGATTATGTAAATTATCGGCATTCTGGTAAAGGTAAACCAGAGGAAATGTTATCGGTTACAAGTGGATCTCAATCAAGTGATTATCCTATTATTCAACATGGTCAAAACGATCGTAAAGGTAGACATCCTTCTGAGATATCAAATTCCATAAATGAACGTAGACCTAATTCTCCTATATATGCAAATACTAAAACACATCGTCATAAGAAGCATCATGATGAATCATCAACTAATACTGTCCAACAAAAAGATAATTACTTTTATGGTCCGAATACGAGAATAAGCAATTTGTCATCTAGTCATAAACCTCCAGTAGGTGGTGTGCCAGTATTCGGAGGTGTGATGCTTCCTAAAAGCCATCATAATCAGGAAGCAGATAGACTGAAACGATCCGATCAACTGCGCCCTTTGAATTCCCCTCATTTTAAAAAGAAACAGCAATGTCATTCAGAAGAGAACGATGATGAACAAACTGTAACGCTTACTGAAGACAAGGTTGATCACAATCAATACAAATCCAGCTCTAAACATCGAAAACAATTACAAACAGATAATTACAGTGCTGTATCTAATCATAATAGATCTAGACATTCTGGACGATCAGTGAGTTAGAGTAAAAGCAGTGTTCATTCTTATTCGTGCATGACACAATATATTTTTGCTTTAATGATAATAATAATGCTAGTTTACACAGTTCATTACAATTATGTTACTTTTTCTAATTTATTGGTTTGTTAATTCATTGGATAAATCGAGACCGGGTAAATATCTAAACTCAGGAGTATTGGTTATGTAATTCAGGCTTATTTCCAGACCTATTATATCCCCTGGGCATACTTACCTGATCCTGCTTGATCCCTTCTATACTTGCATTTTCACCACGCAAGTTCTATATAAGAAATTAGCCTCATTTTAGTCGTATGATCTGTTTTGATGACGGTTAAAGTGAATCAAGAATATATCTTCTACTTTGTTAAAAATAATTTGATGTTGGCAGTTTTTCGAACCTCATATAACTGAAAAATTTAAACTGGTATTAATGTAAGCTGATTATTTTTTTCTCTGAAGAAGCAACTTACTCTAGGTTGTGAAGAGTTAGAAATTTCATTGTTACTCATTAGGACTAAAAATATGTCATTATTTCTGTTATTAACAATCTTCCGGATGCTCATTCTTTTCTCATCAATCCAAGCCTTATTAATAATACTTACAATTGACGGTACTTCTTACTAACGCAAAGTGATAAAATACTAAAACCATTATTCTATAATTACGTGCTTTATCATAACTCTTTAATCGTATATAAAATTTAAATGCATCATAAAGTTAAATAGTGTCAGTACATTTTTTTATTTCGATTTTCAATGCTGTCAACAATAAGCAAGTTGATGTAAGCTTTAAGCAGAAGCAGTTATTCAGTATTTCATAGTTTTCTAATAGCTACCAAACTGATTCATCATGCATGTTCTCTTATAGTGATCGTTGATTTAATCCATTTAGATATTTTTTACTCTGTGTGTTCTATATAGCATCGGCGAGTTTGTTTCTAACTAATACAAACATCATTTAGCTATTTCGTTTCTTAAGAATCAAGCGTATAGTTAGTGTATCTAGACGAATCTAACTCGCAGTATTACAATTTGCAAATCTCTAAAATATGACTCTTGCTTTTGGATCCACTGGTAACTGCAAGAAATAAGAAAGCGTCTTTTTGTGGTTCAGGAAATGAACTCATTTCTTGTGATATTTAATTCTTGCTTACATCACCCTGAATAAGATTACGAGCATGATATTATGAGGTAATTTTTACGGTTAGAAATAGAAAACATCGGAATAAATGATTAATTTAGTTATTGTTCTTTTAAGATGTCGGTATTTTGGGATTATGCATTGTCAGTGTATTTTTTAAATATATATTTTAGCATCGAAGACAATCAGGAAACGTAGAAGGCATGTTATAATTTGAAGAACACCCATCATGTAACAAACTTTATTATCTGGCTTCTTGACCAATTAATTGGTCGTCGTTTTCTATTATTATACATACTCAGCATGGGGCTTCCATTTTTTTGCTTACATATTTGATCCTTTCCAGTTTTTATTTGTTATGTGATTATTAACACTTTTATATTTTATCCTTTGTGATTTAAACAACAATTATTCAGACAATATTCAAAACTTGTTCGCACCTATCCATCCATACGTAGTATGCACACGCACAATAAGTCTTACTTATTGTACCACCTACTATTCACTTATTGTCTTTTACACATTATTTTACGCTCATTATGATTACTGTGTTTTTCTTTTTAAATATTTTTTGTCTCATTCCATTTTTTTACTACGTTAGCGTTGGTGATTTACTCATGCGTACATATCATTCGGAAAATTATCTTTGTTTTTTAAATTTCTTTAAAATTGTTATTTGTACATGGTTTCGTTTTTAAACCCCAACATATCTATTCATTCATCAATCTAGTAGATTGTTCGAGAGACTAAATGATATATATATATATATATGTTCGGCGTAATTTTTGTAGCTCCCTATTACGAATTCTTAACCCTCCTGACACGATACATCTGTTTGATTTCAGTAAATAGTTTAACAATAAAAGAATCTAAAGCCAAAATGAATTGGAATTTCTTAGTATAGATTAAAGCCAGTTTTGCAAATGTCCACATAGTAGTAGCGTTGATGATTTATCTGACTCTTCCTCATTTCAGCAGTAATGATCGGTGCAACCTTGTTTCAGTCATTATTAATTATCCAAGCCTAAGCTATTTCAGTGAGAATAGCTATATTCGTAATATTGTTTTCAGTTAGTCTGTTCCGAGAAAAATTGGATCGATGAGGAATGCCGATTAACATAAAAACTAAGTTAAAGGGGATACTGCTGATTGGTTCAAATCATTGAACATCAAAAGAAGTGCAATACGATATCGAGTCTCTAAGACTTTGTAACTTAAAGACGAATTCCTGTAAATCACAGGAAGCTTTCTTCAGAAAACATTAAGTGCAATAATTGATTGTACTTCATATCTTAATGTGTCGACAAATAATCTATTCTGAGTAAATTATAAAAGTTCAGACACGTAGTTATTACACCAACTATTTATGCCTAACCTAGGGAATACTAAATATCCAAAGTTTCCAAGCTGATCCCCATCGTCATGAGAACGCTTACCTCGTTTGATAACTATGAGGTAGTCACGCTTTTCCAGTCCTTTGCGCTAATTAGATTATATTGTTAGAGTGGTTTTGTGTTTGTCAGCCTCCAAATGCCGTAGTACGACCGAGGACGAGAAAAATCCGCTCTCCCTCTCGAGATGCTCTCACATGGCCACGCGTATACAGCCACTGACAGGGAAATCCTACTCACTGCCTTCTCGTGACAGGGATGTTGTTTACGAAATTGAGGGGACGAAAAGCAAATGTCCGGCACTTTAATCGGGTTGATAGATATGAGGGATCCACTTAGGGAAGTTCGAAAACCATGGTTCCAAACCATTGGTGCACATAAACTCACGGGTCCTAACGAAACTAATGGCGTATGAACCTATTGTTGGTCACCAGGTACCACAGGACTGCATCTCCTAATGTTCTACACTGTCTTGTGGATTAGGCCTCTAGGTAGAAGGTTCGGGAAGCGGCCCTCTAGGAAAACCACTTGCTACGGTTTGGGCACCCGAATAGTGTTCCAGCCCTCACACAAATCTAATGGCGAAGTGTGGTGCATATGTATTTGATGCCTTCTTGTGCCAATGTTTGTGTTAAAATAAGACAAATAAATATCTTATAGTGCTAGGTTACTTACAACTGTTATTCTTCATTTCCCCCACTTAGGTTTGTTTAATCGTCATTTAAATTCTCCATATATTACATGGAAATACAAAATGAATGTGGTCAAGAATTCACCGAGTAACACGGAAAATTCTAACGATGCTATCGATTGGGATGTATGCCTACTTATATATATATATATATATATATATATATATATATATTTGATGCCTTCTTGTGCCAATGTTTGTGTGTTTAAATAAGTAATAAAATACCAGTCTCAACCACTCAATATCGAGCAAGCAAACCAAAAATGTTTACAAAACTTATTGAAACAAGTTATATCCGTCGTTATTTTGTTATGTAATAAAACCATACCATTTTCGTTAGTTTTTCAGTCGACTGTTGCTCATTTTGAAAATGATAGGTCTGTGGTGTACAAGTAGTGAAGTACATCAATGATTACACCAGTCACTGTCATGTTTAGTACTCAATGCTAAAGTGGTTTCAATTACCAATGGAAGCACTTTTTGCCTCAGGATTCCACATGTAAAAAGATGGTAATTAGTGCATAATTTACATTGGACCATCCCGTTGGTTACTTTTTATAACCTAGCATGATCAAAATAATTTACAATACAAATGGTCAGTCAACTACAACATAGGACCAGGCACACATATGCATCGGTCCAACTTGCCATTACCTCATTAGCACAACAAGATGAACACCGAATTCATAGAAGTAGTTAATTTAGTGATGGTGATTGTTAGCGGGACATAGATTGGATTAAAGCATGTTGCATGCATGATGGTGTTGCTGCGTGTTGATTGGCTAATTCTAAACCAATCAGCCCTGGTAAATTGTCTGAGAAAAATCTAGAAGCATCTTATGTATATACTATAAATATATGAACGTTTTTCAAACCAGTGATTGCTGTTCACTTACCATTGTTATTTTGAATACAATTAGTTCCTGTTCAACGTGTTCTGATTTTGGGGTCTTGTCGAGTGTCATTGTATAAGAATACTAAGCAATAGGAGTAGCTGGATCGTTTATTAGCAAAAACCAATTATAACAGTTATATATAAAGGAAAGGTTGTATATGAGGATTTAGTACGGGAAAGAAGACAGATACGAAGCAATTTTATTCTCAACGTTTAAGGAAAGACAAAGAGTGGTCACACCTGTGCCATGTCACTTAGAGTCTCCAACCATTGGTTACGATAGTCATGCGGACTACAACCAAGTAGTCTGTATCTACCAACATGGCTCAGACTAGAAGATAGTAACTTCAAACTCTGATGCCACGTTTTGGTTTGGCCGCCACTAACTTTCTTCTAACCATCGCCAATACTAGTCAGCATAGCGCGACAATACAAATATATTAATAACTAATTATTAAATGCATCCTATACACCTACAATATTAAGTATTAAGGGCATTATCCTGCAAAATGTTGAGTTCAATCTCAGTGATGTGTTTTTAAATTCACTAGGGATTTCCTTATCAGTTATTTTTGGAAATTTGTACTTTGATCATAAGCCAAAAGCTCTGAACGAAGAAATAACGGATAACACAGAAGAACAATAGATAAAGTTTTTCTTCTACAAATGGGGTTTTATTTTATCCAGTATTTAAAAAAGAGGGATGATGTATACAAATAACGCGTAAAACTAGACAGTCAAAAGAGTTAAATTTTCTCGTCTCTCCAACTAGTATAGAAATGTGTTGATCGTTTAGATATCACATGTAAAATAATAAGTAGATCTCTGCGGACACTAAATCTACACAAAAGAACAGAAACAAAACGACAATTTGTTGATGATAAAATCTAGCAGTAGACAAAAGAATGAAATGCCAATGTAGAAATATATTAACATTTAAACATAAATTAGTGAAAATATAATTATTTAAAAGATAGTTTTCATTGAGACTTAAATTACATTAGGTAACTACTCGAGACTATGAGGCATTGAGTATACATGTCATTATGGATTCATGATTACAATGAAATCGGCCCCACCCTATGAAAACACCAAAATTAAAGTATATAATTATCTAAGAAATGAACTGAGAATGAAATATTCCCGAGAACAGTACACGTACATTTGTTTTTTCGAAAGCGAGAGTCGTCTACGACAATTAGTTAACAATTTTGAAACATATCGTCATTTATCGAATACACAAACCTTGTTGATAATCCCATTGATGTAGCCATTACACGAGATTTCCGAATAACAGTAACTATCAACACAACTCAAACGAATGAAGACTGAAGAGTTTATTAACTACTGTTATAGATAGTATATTAAAAAAACCATGTGTATACATACATTCGCTTGACATGGGCTCGAAGATCAGGAATGGAAAATTAATTTTATAAAGCGAAAAACCACCCAATCCGCTCAGAATTGGGAAAATTTATGTAATGATTTCAGAAATAATTCTTTTCAAAACATACGGTAGTAGAGTTTTCTCAGAAACAAATAATCCCAACACTAACAATGAGCACTGCTAGAATAACTCGTTAATTTTGCTTAAGGACAATTTACACACTCATGACTTATTTTTCAGTTGACGAACTAGCTAACTACAATCTGAGTAAATTTTGTTCTGCAGATATTGGTAAATAAGGACTGTGTTATGTAAAGAACTATTTAAAACCGCAGACTGTTATACTTTTCCCCATAATGTAATAGGGCTTCAAGTTATGCGTTGCTTTCCGTATAGGAATAGGACGATACTATTAAACTGAAGTAAATGGAGTGAGATTTAGACGCAGTGATTGAAAGTTTACTGTTTTTATCACGTAGCCACCACACTATATAATTTATACAATTCTTGAATAAATGTTTTTATAATTATACCTTATAAATGATAAATCAACTACCACGATCATAATTATTGAGAAAAACACTTACCCATTTTGTTTAGTTAATTTTTTGATTGTACATTGCGGTGAACAAAGAATAAACTTTTTCATTTTATCATGTTCAAAATAAACCTGGGTAAATAGTAACAAAAGAAAGTTCTCAACACTAATATCGTTAAACAAATGAACCCATACTACATATGGGTTCATATAATCGACCCCAAAGTTAAAAACACTATGATTTCTAGTTCATAACAGTGTGAACCGGGATTTGAAAAAATGGCTAAGATTTCAACTGGATTAAATAGGTGTGAATTACGAAACCTCTACTTGGTGTTTATATAGTTAAGACTTATCAGAGCATTTCGCAAAACTACAGCAAATTCAGTCACTCAAGCATTTACTGACAATCTGAATCTTCTGGAAATTCTGCAAAATAAAACATGGCATTTTGACTTCAAATACTTAGTAAGTCCCCGGAAGGTATTCATACAACGATTTCACACGAACCATTAATGTGGCTAGTTGCATGTCAACAAACGCAATTCGTGCATTGGGATCTGTACAGGATAAGTAATGGACGCAGAAACTGAAAAGAGGGTAAGGAGTGGAAATATGAATTCTAATTATTTTGAAGACCAAGCAGTGATGAGAGAATATTTTAAGTCTTTGACATCACTTACGACATTCTGTTGAATTCATTTTTGTTATAATATTCTAGATATAATTGACATTATAACAGAAAAGAAAACGCTTTTTAGCTTGTTTTATTACATTAACTCATTTTCATATAAAAACGATATGTGGTTCTTGCATTCCATAATCAAGCCAGTACATACTATTGGTCCAATAAAAAATAATGATAATGCAAATCAGTAGAGTTGTGCAAACAATCAGTTTGAATACGACCATTATTATTACTTATTTTCTTGGTATCACAAACGTTTTAGGTTATTTAAACAGGACTTCTATGGATTTATGCCTCCAAACTTGACGTTCTGAAAATCGGTCAGTAGGATATATTGATCCAAGAGTAGGGAAAGAACGATGATTCCTTTTCTTATATCAACAGTGGAATTAAACAGTGCTACGCAATGTCTCATTTCTTCTTTAGCTTTTTTCATTGAGGTAATGATGTAGATATTTTTTAGAGTAAAACCTTTTGACTTCAAAAATGTGGGGGACATCACTTTACTTACACACACTTTAGAGCAGATACCCAGGTATTGTATAACTAATAAGTGTTGAAGGTCAATGTAAAGGAAGTTTAAACTTTATGGAAACACTACAGCGTACAATCTCCAACTTTGGACTTGTAGCAAAAGTTCCACGTGATATGCTTATAAACCTCTTCTTTTCAACCAAATCTACAACCTGTACATTGAATTCATAAGTTAGCACTTGATGTTTCACACAAAATATGGGTGAAGACCACGGATTTGTTTCTGATTTTAATTTGTTAGAATCCTTTCTTAAATGAAGAATCGTCAAAATTCAATTATACTAACTTTACATGGTGGATGGACATATGAAGGAGTGGAATTCTCCCATCACTAAGTATACTAGGATAGCACAGAACAATATACTTCAATTCCAGACATCTATTGACGTAAGAGTTGGCATAAATGTCAGTCAACACAATTCGACGCATTTCTCATTAGCTCAGTTAGAAGACATTTAAATTCTTAACAATGAAAGTAATATCAACTATACTAGACAACAAATAAAAGGAATATAGTTTGAAATATTAATGTAAAAGATAACACTCAAAAAACAATAATTATATACTGTAATTAAAAACATTACCTCTATAGCATCATCTTCAAGGGAGTATAGGCGCTTCGGGTCCCACGGCGGAGGAGGCTGATTCACATCAAAAACTAACTTTAAACAATCAATGATCCTGAATAAAAATTGAAAAAGCGATTCTTAATTTGCATCATTCGACTACTTACGAGTAACCCATATTTTAAACAAAAATGTCTATGTAGTTTCATATCTAAACTGTTACTTTCAAACCAAAAATGTGGGAAGTGAGATTGAAAACTAGATGTTTTTTACAGCTGTTATTGATTTTTAACCATATTACATCCTGTAATCCCCGCTTTCATGATCCTAAGGTTTATCACTACAGTCAATCAGCAACATTTTTTAAATAATCACCTGTTGGTTGTGAATGAACAGTAATTATTTTAAATGTATGCAGAAACTCATTGATGGACACTTTTAAAATTACTCTTTTTGATAAACGAATTTTCAGATTATTGTTTCCTCATCAAGTCAAGCGCTGAAAGATTGATACAGATGTGTTTCATATAGAATAATCTTCATTACTATTATTAGACGTGTGGACAACTATGCAGTAAATAAATTTGATAGAACAAAACAAACACTTATTAACAAAGTCATGTATGTACAAACTTATAACTCCCTGTAATAAAAAACACTATTTAGAGCTTGTAAAAGCTATCCAATCTATTGGAGTATAGTGAAAAAAATAGCAGTTTCTAATATAAGACATGTGTGAAGTTTTGTCAGATCAAGATTTTGTAAGGAGTATAAAATGTATTCGTTGCAATAAAAACCATTAGACTTATGAAGTTCTAACTCGGTGGTTTAAATATTCAAATTCTGTATAATGGACAGTAAGTTTCAACGTCAATTTATTTATTTTGCTTTGAACGGACTGATAGGTTGTCTGGTTCAAAGTTTTGCGTATACTTTGTCCCTAAGTGACCTAAAGTCAAGTGATGGAGAAAGCTAGCAAGTGTAAGGCTATACAGTTAAAGAATCTCAAGGATACAACGGTACCCTGTGGTGTTTAAATAAATCAATGACTTCTTAGTATTGATGACTGTTGTAATTTTGAATTCCAAATACAATACATTCGTTAGGGCTCATCTGATACTTCTTGATTAAATCGCGTTATTCCTGGGATTACTAGTTTATACTACAATTCAAATACTACTAATTATCATATAGGCGTCTCGACTGAGCCTGTGATGGAACGGTTAAATATAAATTCAGATTTTAATGCTTTTGAGGAGTACATGGAAAGGTTCGAAATCTGGGCTATGACCAAGGAAGATGATGAGGATTTTAATATTGTGGTCCATTTCCTTACATTCATCGGGAAAGAAGCATACAGCCTTATAAAGATTTTGGTACTTCCAGACAAACCGATTTCACTCCCCTATGCAACTCTCAAGCAACTGCTGTTGGATCATGTAAAGTATACAAATTCCGAATGCGGTAAGAAAAGAAAATCCGATAAAATGACTCGTCAGAACATCAGGAATTCCACTTATTCAAACAGTCGTCATAGTTCGATGCGTAATGAAAATTATTCAGACAATACTTCATTGAGTTGTGAAACAGTCCATGATGATGAGCACGAGTTTAGTAAATGCATGTTCTGCGGCAAGTTTCACCCATGTAATTCATGTATATTTCGTAATTCTAAATGCTTTAAATGTGGTATAACTGAACATATTCAGTCAGTTTGTAATACCATGGTTCATTTCGCTGAAAGTAATGCTAAGATGGATGCTTCTAATGATCAGTTATCTTTATTTAGAAGTGATATAACGTCACATAGCAGTCCAGAGTTAACTGAAACTCAGAATCATTGTGAGACAAAAATTTTTAACCAACAAACTTATCGGATTTCTCATGATATTGAACCAGATATGGTTTGGCGTAATAATTCACATACTTCTGATGGAATTTCTTACAACTCTGAGAATAGAATGTTAAATGAGTCAAATCATGATCAAAAACCAGATTCAGTCTTGGTAGATGCTGAATTCCCTGTTGATTCATTATTCTTTAATGAAACTCTTAATCCATTTGAAGAAAATATTTCAGAGAAATCAAATTCTGATATCATATCATGTGTCAGTGGTCCTCACAATGAATTTATCTCTAATGATATTCCTCATGAGTGTGACAAATATGTTTCTTATGAGTTGAATTCTAGTCATATTTCTGATGTTATTGTGTCATATGTTGGGTACTCTCACGAACAATGTATGTTGAATAGAATCCCTAGTCAGGGGTATGACGAATCAGAGGGGATAGCAAAATTTACCGAAATAATCAGAGAACCAGCTTGCCCAGAAGTGAAGCTTGCACAGACAGAGAATCCAAATCAAATCCAAGATTATCCTAATGAATATGAGGCAGATGAATGTTTTCTATTCGATTGTTTCGCAGGTAAATCAAGCCTAGTTGAATCACATGCGTTAATTACATATGTCAATGCATATCCATCTGTATATTCTAATATGAATAACAAAAAGTATATGTATCATGATTTTTATTCAAATCAAAGTCACATGATGGAATACCTCGAATTATATATCAGTGTTTATTCCCAAATACTCATATACAGTAGTCGATGCGTGAGATTTGAGAAGATACTGCAAATTGGAAATATCATATTGGCTAAAACATTGCGACATAAGGACCCAACATTATTTCGTGGGGGAGGATATTGTTGGAAAACCCATGATGCAAATTCTAAATATCAATGGTTTCACTACAAAGCCGGCATGCTGATTGTATACAATTCCAGAATCCAGGTGAGTCTTTTCCAATTTTGGTTGTTAATTCTAATACTAATGAGTGCATTCTAGATAATACAGAGTCTACATCCAATACACTTTCGAACCGATGTAAGATGAATTTAAGAAGAAGGCGAACAATCGATTACAGACACTTACACTCCAATTCGAGCTGTGGCGGTTGTGGTGTTTAAATAAATCAATGACTTCTTAGTATTGATGACTGTTGTAATTTTGAATTCCAAATACAATACATTCGTTAGGGCTCATCTGATACTTCTTGATTAAATCGCGTTATTCCTGGGATTACTAGTTTATACTACAATTCAAATACTACTAATTATCATATACCCCCAATTTTTGGAGACTGAATAATTTCTAATAACGATTTAACTGATATCTATTGTCATTGAGACAAAAAAGGTGAGGATGTAACACTAGAAAAATATAAAACCGTATAACACAGAAAACCTACGTGCTTGATTCAATTACATCACGGAGGAAATCAGTTTGTCCGAATTCAGGATACATAAAAAGAATAGGCCAGTGAAATTTCCCCAATGAATCCACATAAAATGTGGAACAACTGACTTCTGGCATATCAATAGGTTTTAATTTGAGATTAACATCAATTCCACGTGACTAGATAGTGTAAAAGTGATAAGATATGAATGTCAAGTCTCAAAAAAACTAAAAGCTGTAAGTGAAGCATTTAGGAGAATTCATGGTATTCGCAGACAATCAGAGTATAAATCAGAAGATAGTTTCTTAACCAGGTGTTGGAGGATTCATTAAACTCAGGTAAATGACACTTTATACGTGCTGAAGTCAACAGTGGATTTTGATAAGCATTAACGCCATATTCTTCTGTTTTTTTCAACTATGAAAATACTGAAATCTCCACAAAACCTCTTCTGATTATAAGATAAATGGTTAAAAATTCAGAAATTGCCTTTTCGAGGAAAATTGTTTGGCGAAATCATAATATTAAATTAAAGCCTTCAACTTTGAAAACTATTTGCTAGTTAAACCCTTGCTAATCACTATGGCAGCTTTTGAAAACAGTTTTATGCAGAAAATACCCATCACGTAGGAGACCAGGTTTCAGAGCTACGGCTTAGTACACTGAGGTTGGTAGTTTAAACTGACCTACCCTCCAAAATATCTTAGGGTTCAATTATCAGGCATATTTTTGTGACAGGATTAAAGAGTCTTAACAACCGGGGATTGTATGTTTCCAAGATAAGTAGTATGAATTGAAATCATTTCTTGATTGCATAGAACCTAAATGTAATAGTCAGTCGAATAAAAAACACTCAGAAGCCCGTAATAAGTAAACTGAGACCATAAAATGCAGAACAAGTAAATTACTTAGTTAAACTACATATTTCAGCGAAGTTTCTTGAATAAAGTTAGAATATCAAAATAGAAAATGACTTCATGTGAAGGGATTCTGAGTATATTTAAATAACTAAGTAGCAAGTTGTCTATTTTCGAACACCATCAAAATCTGACCACGACCAAACATATGGTTATAAACAGTTGTGATAAAATGCAAAGTTTTATATTGTCAATTAACAATAAAAATTGGTTAATTACCCTTAAAATCTCATATTCAGCATTCATATCATTTTCTTTTCTACAATCCAATTTCGATCGCCGTTCAACCTCCTTATCTAATTCCATTTGCTTTTTAAGAACTTTATGCTGCATTTCAAGTAATTCAGGAGAAGAAGGCAGTACATTTAAGCCGGCTGATGACAATTCTAAAGCTTCATCAACTTTTGAAAGTGCCAGGCAAGCTTCGGTTCCTAATAATGAACTGTTTTAGTATTTTTAAAAACTTTAAACCTTTTACATAAGCTTTAATATAATACGGTGACAAACTAACAGCAGACTTACAATCACGAATACATGATCGGTAATTCTCTAAAAAAAAGAATGAGGATTTTGAAAATAACACTTACTTAGATAGAAGTGACATACTGCTCTATTGGTATACAATATTGCATTTAATTTACGATCTGATGACTTTGCACGTAGGCCACCTGTATAAGACAATATTGCTTTAGAAAATTCTTTTCCCTTATAATAATAATTTCCTTCTTCTTTATAACTACGAGCATTAGCTTATCATTAAAAAAACCCAGTCAGTACGGCACGTGAACTTACCATCTGGATCTTCTGACTCATATTTCAGTGCTTGCAAAGCTTCAGTAGCTGGATGTAAGCCTGCTTTGGGATCAATATCTGCCCCAAATGCTGGATGATTAACCATATCCTAGAATACATGACACAATATAATAAAAAGTAGGCATACATCCCAATCGATAGCATCGTTAGAATTTTCCGTGTTACTCGGTGAATTCTTGACCACATTCATTTTGTATTTCCATGTAATATATGGAGAATTTAAATGACGATTAAACAAACCTAAGTGGGGGAAATGAAGAATAACAGTTGTAAGTAACCTAGCACTATAAGATATTTATTTGTCTTATTTTAACACAAACATTGGCACAAGAAGGCATCAAATACATATGCACCACACTTCGCCATTAGATTTGTGTGAGGGCTGGAACACTATTCGGGTGCCCAAACCGTAGCAAGTGGTTTTCCTAGAGGGCCGCTTCCCGAACCTTCTACCTAGAGGCCTAATCCACAAGACAGTGTAGAACATTAGGAGATGCAGTCCAATGGTAGCCGGTGACATTTGCTTTTTATCCCCTCAATTTCGTGAACAACACCCCTGCCACGAGAAAGCAGTGTGTAGGATTTTCCTGTCAGTGGCTGTATACGCGTGGCCATGTGAGAGCATTTCGAAATAGTGGACTCTTCTCGTCCTTGGCCGTACCAGGAAAGTTGCAGGAAATATTTCTCAGTTTCCCTCTCTTGAAATAGCGTGCAAGCTATGGTGTTTCACAAAAGACTGTGTAATTCAGATAAAATAGAATTGAACTATAATAGCATAGACGGCTTTGGAATGGTTTCTTTTACAACATATTTATCTAGCGACTAGTAAACACAGTGAACCATTGATATTTCAACATATCTTAACTAAACCAGTCAGTTTTTATAGTTCTCAGGCGTTGATTGAGCACATTTATGGATAAAGATAATTATTATCACCAGATTAATCTGCGGTACATTGTGCTATTTCACAAAGTTTTTCATGATACCGGGAATTGCATAACTTTTGAAGATGACGGGAGAGACAGAACAATTATTTAGTTATGTTATTAACATTATCACTACTAGGTTATCGAAATATAGGAAACTTCTGCGACATGCCATGTTGGTAGTACACTAATAACAACTTAAGAATGACTGTAATAAAATACAAGCTGCACCTGTAGCTATATAAGGATCGATTTTGTACAGACCAAATCGCAACTCTACAGATCATTGTGGAACAATCAATTGAATGGAAATCATCACTCCACATCAACATCATTGACTGCGAGAGAGCATTTGATAGCGTGGATAGGACAACACTATGGCGTGCCTGAGAAGATAGTCAATATCATACGGAGTTCCTATGATGAATTAGACTGCAAAATCGTACATAGAGGACAACTCATTGACTCGTTTGAGGTAAAGACCGGTGTCAGGTAAGGTTGCTTACTCTCGCCCTTTCTCTTTCTCCTGGTGATCGACTGGATTATGAAGATGTCAACATCTGGGGGAAAGCGTGGGATACACTGCACAGCTAGGATGCAGCTGGAAGGTCTAGACTTCGCAGATGATCTGGCTCTTCTATCACACTCGCAACAACAAATGCAGGAGAAAACAACCAGTGTTGCAGCAGTAGGTCTCAATATAAACAAAGGCAAAAGCAAGACTCTCCGATACAATACAAAATGCACCAATCGAATGACACTTGACGAAGAGGCTTTGGAATATATGAAAACCTTTACATATCTGGGCAGCATCATCGATGAACACGGTGGATCAAATGCAGATGTGAGGGCGCGGATCGGCAAAGTAAGAACAGCATATTTACAACTGAAGAACATCTGGAACTCAAAACAATTGTCAACCAACAGCAAGATCAGAATTTTGAATACAAATGTCAAGACAGTTTTAGTGTATGGGGAGGAGACGTGGAAAGCTACGAAAGCCATTATCCAGAATATACAGGTGTTTATTAACAGTTGTCTAAGCAAGATATTTTGGATCCGTTGGCCAGACACCATCAGCAACAAGTTACTGTGAGAGACAACAAACCAGATTCCAGTGGAGGGAGAAATCAGGAAGAAGCGCAGGAAGTGGATAGGACACACATTTAGAAAATAACCCAACTGCGTCACAGGACAAGCCCTCACATGGAATCCTGAAGGTCAAAGGAAAAGAAGAAGACCAAAGAACACATTACGCCGAGAAATGGTGACATACATGGGGAGAATGAACAAAAGTTGGATAGAACTAGAAAGGAATGCTGCGGACAGAGTGGGTTGGAGAATGCTGGTCGGCGTCCTATGCTCCATTGGGAGTAACAGGCGTACGTAAGTAGTAAATTACAAAATACAACTGCACGAAATTTCGGTCCCAAAAGACACTTGGAAACGGTAATGTTGGCGAGATATCCTTCAAAATAGAAAGTGGGGCAGAGGAGTCTAAGTTGTGGTCGGATTCACAAAGAGAAGTATAGAGTTGGGTTAAAAAACAAACGTACATCTCAGCGACGAGTTATATTTTTCAGTCAAGCAGGCAAGCTTATCCATTTTGTAAGTTATATAGAAACAGGACTGTTAACTAATTTATACCAACTATTACTCCTTCAAAATTTATCCATTCACTGAAAATCTAAAATGTTACACACCTTATTGTAAGCTTTGATGTCTCTTTGATCAGTGGTCGGTAAATGAACAAGTCGAGATTTAGACTATTTTCCTTTCTTGAGTCGGTGTAGCAATATTGTTTCATTGTAATTAATAGCAACTATTCAGCAGTCCCAGCAACACAGCCGCACCAATATGAATATCGGATTTCTTTAAAGTCACAAGTAGTTTTTCGTAAAGAATATGAAAGAAAAGAAAGCTGGAGACGGAGTTCTTCTGGACGATAGTTCATAATAAAAAAGGCAGGCTCGACCACAGATAACATGTAAAAACCAAAGCCACTGATAAGGCACGAAAGTAAGTTATGTGACCTGTAAATTTATTTTGGATAGGTGGTGAAGATAGGACTTAATGATGGTGATTTCACGTGTTGTAAGAGGTAAGTTGTCACTTGCACGTTGCCCTACAAAAGAGACTGTGTTGAGAGTGATCTATAAGACTAGGAAGCACGAATGGAGTGAAAAACAGACAACTGCTTAAGATCAGTCATGGAAGGCGTCCTATCGAGTAGCTTCAAACGACCTAAAACTACCTATAGGGCCTTAACACTGAAGAGAGAAACAAAGTGGCGTGTAATTTCTGAGGCCATCCCTACGCTTCCCATCCGTTATCCAGAGAAAATGCCGTCATAAACGCCGGTTATCTAACAAAAAGCCTTTACTGCCGTTAGACGTCTGTACATTCAGATGTAAAAATCTGTCCCAGACCATGAGTTTCTAACTTTTAAAATTACAACTTACAGATCAAACTGCCTGGTGTTAGGACGTGAAAGAATAAATATTCTGGCTAATATAGATCCATTGGGTCATCAGAATATGCAAGTCTGACCACTACGTATTATTAAAGTTAAAATGGAAAAGTTTATATTTCGTCCGTTCCTAGTCAGCTTATAATTTTTAAGAACCATTTACCTCCAAGTTAAAGATTTAAATGCAGACCATGATATTTTACCAAAAAGTAAACTATCACAGGTATGGTCCTTTAGATGGCCTGCTTGTCACATGCATGATAAGGTCAAATAAATTAACCTGTTATCACTTCACTGAAAGGCATGATTCGACTTTGATAAACGGAAAAGCACAGCATGTGAACTGAATAAAGAATAAGTTCAATGTAGGCAGTCTTTTGAAACGCAAGAATTAGATTATTATAAATCGCTAGACAAAAATGCGTCGAATACTTGTTTCCGGTGCACGGTAAAAAAGTCAAATCTTTTGAAACCGCCCGCCGTTTCTTTCAAACGACCTTGAAAGGCTTGGCAGGAGGCGGTCATTCCGTAATTCAATTGTTCAGGGTCTGTTGGGTATCTGTTGAGTTGCATGAATATCAGGTTTTCTTATATATAAGTGGTCTTTCGCGGCAGCAAAACTACAAAATAATTACGAAGAACATTGATTTAGCTCTATCTGTCTTCAGTAATAAGGATAGTAGGTTAATGAAACTGTTAGTCCTGACAGACTACCTTCCAGTGAAAGTCCAGCTTCTTCTTGAAAATGCTCACTGATAGTGCTGATACCACTTGTTATGGTAATGCGTTCCAGTCATTGACCACTCGATGAGAAAAACGGGATCCCACCTTTAGTTTATTATATCGCGGTTTCTGAACCCTCTTGCTATGACCTCGGAGATTATTAGTGCTGGAGGGAGCAAAAAGATAAGACATATTAACACCCAAATCATTATTAAAGATACGAAATGCCAGCATAAGGTCACCTCGTGTACTACGATAAGATAAGGGGAAAAGGTTTAGACGTTTCAAACGCTCATCGTAAAGCAGTTTAGAAAGGCCCTTCACTAATTTTGTCCCCACACGCTGGACACGCTCAAGTGATTTAGTATCCTTTATCAGATATGAGCTAGCTGCTTGGATACAGTATTCTAAGTGTGGCCGTACGTAGGTGGGATATAAAATTTGAAACGTCTCCTCGTCAAAGCATTTAAATGCTCGGCGAAGTAACCATAGCGCACGATAACCTTTGGAAGCAGCCAAGTTGCATAGTAGCATAGTAGCTTTCAAGTCGTGACTCATAGTTACTACTAAGTCTTTATGTCCCTGAACGTGTGGAAGAGATGTACAATTAATGGTATAATAGTAACTATTACCGTGCCCGATGTGCATGAGCACGCTCTTCCTGGAATTAACTTCCAAGCCCCAATCATGAGCCCATCTAACTAATTCGTCTAAATGAGCTTGCAGATGACAACGATCAGTCTTACTTCCTATTATTCTGGAACAAACGCTGTTTAACAAGCACAGAGATTACGAAAATTGACATGTGACGGAAAAATGCTGTTAAGAGATGATAAATAACAACATCCGAAATCCTCGATAACATTTAAAGTGAGCCATTTTCCTATGGCCACGAAGAGTATAAGTAGTGGAAGGGACAAAAATGAGACACATTAACATCTCAGTCTTAATTAAAGATACAGAATGCCAACATTAGGTCACCTTGCGTTGTACGAGAAGATAAGTGGAAACGTTTAGGCGTTTTAAGCGCTGATAGTAGGAAGATTTAGAAAGACTTTTCATTAATTTTATTCCCATGCGCTCTACAAGCTCAAGTGAGTAAGTGAGTACATGGTGGCCAGCATATCTTTAAAGGTTAAAACAAACTCACTGAAGTCATCAGATAATATTTTTGTTCTTGATTTCAATGGGCTGATCCATTTCGCAGCTTTTATCTATTGATGTTGCAGTATGGTTTCCGATCGTCGGTATCGTTCAGTGATAGTAGTTCAGTCAGTCATCTACGCCTCTCCTTGTGGATTTGTCAGTTAATTACCGAATAAAAGTTTTCCGATTATCAGTGAATGCTTTTCGTTTTAGGCAACGGGGTTGCTAAGATCACTGGCAATCGTATTATCAGGTAGATTAATGGTTGGTTGGAACGGGAAAAATTGAAAAGTAGTATATAGAGTAAAAAAGTGAAGATAACTGTCAGAATAGACAAATAAATAGTCTATTCAAACAATGTAAAAGAACGAAATTAAAGAATAACAAATAGAAAGGGGTGATACGTGGCAAAGTGGACAGATATTGTTTAGTCATAATGCTGATATTAATGATAGCAGGAATTGTAATGGGAATGTAACAACAAATAAACTTCCGAGAAAAATTGTAATGTAGGTCTCTAACATTGATGCTGATTTCATCAATTTATTGGACACTCTCCTAGGTGGAAAAGCTAGGTTAACCATTTTGACCGGATACTGTCATAACGTGTGTCTGAGTCGGTGCCTTGTTATATATGACGTGATAAAATCGCCAGTTAAATAGCAGCGACTTATTGACAGGACTAGTGACACACGAAACCCGTACGAGCAGTCTAGAGTACTTGTCAGTGCTGCTATCTGACTAGTCCAGAACACCAATAACAGCCTCTGCAATATGAATCATTATTCTCAAACATACTGGGTTTATATACCGAGCAAACAGATCATATCGTACCATAAAATAGAAAGTAACATTTGTGCAAGATTAAGCCGAATGTGTCTGTGAATGTGTGAGGCAATAATTAATAGATTGGGGATAACTCAAGAATGGTAAACCGTATAGTAATAGTTCATGAGTCAAAACAAAGCTTATAATAAGAGGGATATGGATATGAATAGTTTAGTTAATTGATAATTATACAATTAAATATACACATAGTATTGATCCATAAATAGTCTTCAAAAGTTACCACTCATAATTCTCTTCGAGATATAACAAATAAATCACGCTGTTAATTTCTCACGACAATCAATCGGCTCTGATTGCATGCAAATCGACCATCAACAAATACATCTTCGATTTCAATCGTCCTTGACTTTCGACTTTTTTCCTTGGTTTCGGGGTCACCTTAGTAGAATGGATTTTGCGCGATGCTTTTCATAAGCACTATTTATCCACGATGCCTTTACCAGTGATACGATACGTCAGCAGTTTTTGGCAGACGCCGGAAGGCCATTGATGATTACATGGTTATCAAGTCCCCTTTTGAAGCTACTCTCTGGTGGGGATATTGTCACGTCTGCTAGGAGAACACTCATCCTTATTACAAGGGAGCCTTTTAATAGTAAAAGTGCGGTCGTGCTTATGCGTCAGCAACGTGATGTTCAAGTCGTTGATGGTTGTCTTATGTAGTGCGATGTCAAGATTCGGGTAGCATGTTTTTATTCTAGGAGAAATTATTATGTTGCAACGACCGAAGCTCCAGTATTTGGTCTGAATGCTGAGCCAACGAATCAAAGTTTATTTTATTAGACCGAACCACGTTCTCCTGTGTAGAGTACGAAGAGCTTCTAAGTGACCGGTATTAGATTGTATCAAAGCACAATCTCAGTGCTCATTTGAAACTGTTCTAGTTTAAAAAGCAAACAAAGTATATCAAAAGTACAAAACATCTTATATGGCACAGCCTGTGCTATGCAGACAAGGCTTTCTCTGGCAAAAAACAACGCTCTCAACAGCAAAAGAGATGGTTAATAAACAAGTGTTCGGTACATGAGAATCAACACCAGCATTACCTACAGGATGGGATCAAACATCTACTTCAAAAGATTCGAGTAACTGTTCTCAGGAGGTAGTTAAGAATCGATAATAATCAAATGAGCCACGCTGTAACCTTGAGCTTCGTCGAAAACTCAACTTTTGCCAATGACCCGGCAACATGCGACAGTAAAATAAATGTAATAAATGTAAATCTGTAGACAAAGTAGAGACAAAGAAGATTGATGAACATAAAATGCAGTCATGAGAGCCATGAGCAAAATTAAAAACCCTTATTAAGAAAAGGGAACGATGAAACAACGACGCAGTTCAACAAAACACTTTGTAAAAATTTTTGGCGCATTCTTCCAGTTGCAATTCGTTTGCCTTATATGTATTTATTCAATTAATTGAGAACATTCTTAGATTAGGAAGTCAGTCTTAACATGTTTTTCATGTTAATCCCGTTACACACTTCGCTACGCTTTTCTGCACTTGAGACGAGAGCTTCTTATCGCATTCTGGAAGAGCGGTGAAAAATGCCAATGTTTTGGATGTCGGGAAATGCAAGTGCTAAATATTGTCAGGCAGAAATGACAAGTCGACATACCTATTTACCTCCGGACTGGTGAAGAGTTCAGCAGAATTTGGCTCCATCTCTCTGTTATTTGTCACGTCTGAGCTATCTGTTAACGGCTTTCATAACTCGCACTCCACTCAGTTTCGGAGGAGGCGAGTAACATAGAGGAGACAGAGAATCCGAATCGTATCTGTAGCTAAACACCACTTCAGGTGAAACTTTTGTAAGTTGAGAGCTCAACTACTCTTGTCCGCCTATTCTTCCAATATTGTTTGTTCTCTTTGGAGCTCATATGAATTATCTTCACATCTGACACTTCTACACACTTGAATATCACGCATGTACAGAAGAACTAAATTACTGAAATTCACAGGTCTCATTGGTGAATTTAGGGACAGTTTACCAACTTTTCCAGAAGCCGTGTTGCATCTCATGAAAGGGTTTGTGAGGATTTA